GATCTGAAAGAAGAAACGACACAAAATGGGAAACAACCCCTCGTCCTCGTCCAAGCCGGCCACGCCTGTCTCATCACAGGACTCTCCCAAGCACCACCACCACAAGAGAGAGTCCAAACACATCATCCCGCCCCGGTCTGCCGAGCGAGTTGCTGCCCCGCCTGAACCTTCCCTTACCCAGGCTCAAGGTTCCACGGCCACAAAGGGTCCCAGGCCTCTCCAAGCCATCCCGATTTCCAACTTCACCACCGGCTCACCCTCGTCAAACTCGAGTAACTCCGCCCCGCCGCCGAAGCCCCCAGAATCGAAGAACGTCGTCCGCGATGCGCCTAGCAAGCCCGTAGACGTCCCAGCTGCTGCCGCCGCGACAGAATCCTCCTCCCTCAGATCGCATTACTCTGCCCACATGGTTGAACCACCGCTGGTTGGGAACAGCAGCGTCAACGATATGTCTTACTTGACACGTCCTCCGCGTATGCCACTTCCCATCGAAGAGGAGATTCACACTCCGGGCTCGCCCATCATCGCCCCGACCGACGCCAACGACGCTGGCGTGGCCGAAGTGGAAACCCTCGAGGATGGCATGACTAGGAAGTCCTCGGCCTTGAGCACAAATACAGTCGAAGAGGAAGATGGCGAAGAGTTGATTGTCGATAAGACGCGGCCAACGGTTCCCACTCGCCTCGAATGGCGCAAGGGAGGAGGCAAGGTCTACGTCACAGGAACCATCTTCCAATGGAACCGCAAACATAGATTACATCCTGTGTAAGTTTCAATCTTGTGCGTGTGTGGGCTTGAGTCTCGGCTGTCGGCGTTACACCTGTGACTCTCCAGTGGTCTAAGATGCTAGCCCCTTGGCTGCCTTATTTACATCAAGCCCTACGTGCCATATCACAAGCCGATGCTCCCATGAACACTGAGCTGACAATGCGTGTTCAATAGCGATGGCCAGCCTGGCGTGTTTGCAGCCACGATTCACATTCTTCCGGGAACACACCATGTTAGGTTCTTGGTGGACGGAATCATGCAGACTTCACCCGACCTGCCAACAACCGTTGATTTTGGAAACAACCTGGTCAACTTCATCGAAGTGAGCGCAGATGACATCCCGGCAACAGCACCCGTTGAGCCTGGAAAGGACGGTGTGGCTACAGCAGCTACCATTGACAAGGGCGGCCCGAAGACCTCGGCATCGCAAACTGATGAGCAGCCCAAGGCGCCCAGGGGCAAAGAAGTGCCCTCGCCCAGTCAATACTTCCACCAGATCCCCAAGTACTTGGTAGATTTCGACCAGCCCGAAGACTCGCCAGCTTACCAGTATGCGGTCACAGCTATTGAAAAGTTGCCGACACCTCCGAGCTTGCCAGGGTTCTTGGGTAAGCCCATCTTGAACGCCGCAGTTCTTATGAAGGACGACAACAGTGTGCTCAACATGCCCAACCATACTGTTCTCAACCATCTTGCTACCAGCAGTATTAAGAACAACATTCTGGCTGTGTCTGCAACCACGCGTTACAAGAACAAGGTATGTCATCTGCTACGGCACTCCACTTGGCCCGCGACTAACAAGTCGAACAGTATGTTACGACGATCATATACAAGCCCACCACAACAGACGAGTGATTGGAGGCTTGGGGATCATGCCGAGGAAACTGAGCATGGAGTAGCGTACCTGCGCTAAGTGGATAATCGTCACGGAGCTTAGAGTGATTGCCTTGTGAAAAGAGGCAAAAGAAGTGAACAAAAGAAATGAATAACAGCCAGCTTGTGCCGCATTGGCCAACGGCATTAGTCTCTCCATTTGACGAATACCTCGTCTGTTCTAAATCTTTGTGTGCATGAACTGTCCTCGAGGGATGTCCTGAAGCCGGTCTCGTAGGCCAATAGGCCAGCATGAGCAATCATGATGCCGTTGTCGATGCAGAAGCGCTCGTCCGTCGCATAGACACTGCCGCCTCTCTCCGCAGCCATCCCACCCATCATCTCTTGTAGCCTCTCGTTGCAGCCGACACCTCCCACAATCAATACCTGATTGCTGCCAACGTGTGCCATGGCCCGCTCCGTGATCTCGACCAACATGGCAAACACTGTCTCCTGCAGCGAAAAGCACAAATCAGCCGGTGTGAACGTCTCCTCCCCCTTGGCCTGCGCCGCCTTCATCTGGCCTGCGAGAATATCCGCATAGGCGAGGATGCCCGAGAAGGAGCAATCCATGCCCTTGACGGCGTACGGCAGCTCCAGTAACCGCGTCCCCTTCTTGGCCAGCTGCTCGATATTATATCCCGGCGCCGGGTCGTTGCTGATCTCGAGTGTGCGCGCAAAGCGATCGAGGCAGTTGCCGACGGCGATGTCGAGCGTCTCGCCAAAGATGCGGTACCGCTGCTCGGCGTAGGCGATAACCTGGCTGTTGCCGCCGCTGACGTAGAGCACGACGGGGTTCTGCGCGCCGGTGATGGTGCGACCCATCTCGATGTGGCCGACGCAGTGGTTGACGCCGACGAGGGGCTTGTCCCACAGCAGGGCCAAGGTGCGGGCGGCGACGGCGACGCTGGTTAGAGGCGCGCCCATGCCGGGGCCCTTTGTGAAGCAGACGCAGTCCACGTCGGCGACGGCGACGCCGGCCTCGCGGAGGGCGCGACGGGCGATCTGGACGAAGAAGGAGCGGTGGTGCTTGGCCGTGTCTTTGGGGAGGAAGCCGGTGCCGGGCGGGGAGACGAAGGTGTGGCGGATGTTGGAGAGGATGGTGGACTCTGTGCCGTTGTGGAGCATCACGCCGATGCCGAGCTTGTTGGCGGAGCCTTCGCAGCCGAGGGCGATGAGGCCGCGCTTCTTCGTCATGTTTGCTGTCGTGAGCTTGGAGGGGGATTCTGCGGTCATGGCTGCGGGTGGTGGTGGTTGCTGTTGCTGTTGCTGTTGCTGTTGGTAGTGGTGTTGAGGTGTTGGTGGGGTGTCGATGTCGAGGTTTAGATCGCGGGGCCTCTTTGGTGGACGGGTTGTGGTGTCGCTCATGGGGCTGGACTTTGCCAGATTCGACCGTTGATTTCACCCTCCTCACCACGAATTAGTTAGTTTTTGAAAAATACCAGAAGATGATTTCGGTTTGACAAGTCCGAATCTATTCTCTTATTACGCCACAAGTATGGAAAATTCCTATAAGCAAAAGAAGCATGGCCACTGTCAGCTGTCTGTCGCAAAGAAGAGAAAGAAAAAAAAGTCAGCCATGGGCCAATGGAAAAATAGAAGTTGACGTAGGAGGGGTAATCCCGTTGGTGGGATGTCCATGTCGGTTTTCCAACGACAGAACTGTGGATGGGTAATTATGGGGCCCCGATTTTGGTCCCCTGCCCACGGGCCCCAAGAGCAGAAGCAGAAGCAGAAGCAGAAGCGCGGCTGCGTAGCATACCTGCTGCGGTAAGGTACTGCGTAAGGTAGAGCTGCCACAACGGTTCTTGACACACAACGCCGTACTGCACCGGACCCTTTTTCTGCCTTTTGCGCAAATGTCCACAGGTGAGCCGCCCTCCCCCCCCTCCGTTACCTTTAGCCTACCAGCCTTCCTGCCTAGGTGTAACCTCCCGGCAAACGCCGCCCGCCTCACCTCAACCCCAAGACATCTGCTCGGTCTCCTTCCTTTCTTCCTCAGTCTCTGTGTCCTTTTCCCCCAAGAGATTGAACCTCACTGACGAAATACGCGATACCTCTATTCTGCAGCCCATGATCTAGGTATACTCAGAGCCAGTATTTTCCCATTGCCCCTGTTGGCGCACCGTTTTTATCGCTCACAAACCCCGGTCAAAGGTACCTTTCTGAGGCTTCCAAAAGGCACACACATTTATCCCCACACCCACCACCGTGCAAGCCTCGACAAGAAAGTGGACTCCCCCTTCCCGTTCTCACTACACAATTCTTTCTCTTCTTTTGCTCCAGGATATTTCTCTCTCGCCCCTCTTTCTGCGGCCGGTTGCTACAGGTATACTCACTTTTTTTTTCTCCCTCATTCCCCCTCTCTTGTCCTTTGCATTTCTCTTCTAAGCCCTTTTCATGGTTCCCCCATTCTTCCTGTCCTGTCTCGTGATCGGCCGAGGGATCTGCGGGCACATATCAGCCGAATCGGGGTGACGGGGGAGAGAGACAGCCTCTCCAACAAGACAAAGGTCGACCTGCTGACCTCCTCCACGACTACCTACCTCACCCACAACACCACCGTCTTTTCTCCTTGAGCAAGCTGTGAGGGCTGTTGCAGGTTTGTTCTCGCCTCTTTGAACAATAATACAGAAGCTGTTCAAATTCAACAACCTGCTAACCCGTGGTTTTTGTCAGCCAGGTACCACCACCCAGGCATAATGCCGCGCCTGACCACCCGCTTGTCGCAAGCTCTCCCCGAGTCACCTTACAAACCACCACTACCTACCTCCTCCTTCCCCCTCCCGACACACCACGACACACCACGAGTTGAGGCACACGAGAGTTCATGAAGCTACCGGTCCTCTATTTTTTACCATTGCCCGCTACCACAGAGCAAGGCAATGCGCATCGAGTCGCCGAGCAGAGTCAGACGCCGCCAGCCGCCGGAAGCCGACCTCCATCGTCATCTCCGCCAAGATCCGGCCGACCGCGCCTATGGCCAACGAGAACAATTCCCTCCGCTTGCACAGGAAAAGCAACAGGCGATCGAGTCACCGATAGAGGGGGGCTTTGAAGTACATTATTCATCTTTCTTTATTGTCTTTGGGGAATCATCTAACCCCGGCCGAGGGCCTTCGTCTTGGTAGACCACGACCACCGGTCTCCAACTCCTCTTCTTTTACATTCATTTACTTTACATGAGACCCATCTCAACCCAAAACGCCACGCCTAACCGACCGCCCTGCCTGCCCGCCTGCCAGCCACCAGGCCCTTTGTACAAAACCGGAAGACAACCAAAACACCAATGGGGGTATACAACACACGTCATCCGAGGATGAGGAGTAGAGATCGCGCCTTGAAGGCCAGACCATCTCTCATGAGGGGGTAGCAGCAGGTTGAGCTGGCGGAGAAGCCTGAGGCGGCTGCCGCGGTTGCTGCGGCGTTGCTTGCGGCTGTGGTTGACCCTGCTGCTGCGGCGTCGGAGGCTGCGGCAGTGCAGGTCTGCCAGCCGCTGCTGCTACTTGCGGAGTTGCTTGGCCGTTGGCCATGCCCTCATGCGGAAGTTGCCGGCGCTGGTACACATACTGCGACAAGGGGATCGTCGCGCGGAACTTCAAGGCTCGCGTGTCATATGGGTCCACCTCGTAAACCTGCGGTTCGTCCTCGTCGTCTTGGTCATACTTCCACCGATCAGTATACTCTTCGCCTTCCACCCTCGGCGGTGTAGTCATTCCACTCATTCCCCGGCGGTCGATCCACAGCCGACCCAAACGGCCAATGCGTCGGCGGAAGGCTGCTTGGCTGCTGGAAGGCTTCTCTTTGCCGCCGCCGGCTGTGAACTGGAAGACCGACATGTCGCTTCTATCAGGTACAGGTTCGGGTTCTTCATCAACGTCCATGGCATCTGACTCGGAAGATGTGGATGCGGGAGGCGTCATCAGATACTGAGTCTTGGCAGGACGGAAGCTGGCCTCCATACGTTGTTCCTTGACCGGGGACAGGGGGTCTCGCGTGAGGTCCACATGGTTCTGGTTCCACTTTCGGTGGTTGTGGACCTTGCTTTCAACATCTGCGCGCAACTCATTCTCCTTTTCAGCGAGCTTATCTGCCAGCTGCAACAAGTCTGCCTCCATGGATCGACCATCCGGCCGCACGGCAATGCGAAGGTGGTTGCCGGGTGGCTTCTGGAGAGCAGGCGCCTCCACGGGCTTCTTCTTGGGAGGCTGTGCCCGGTCAGCACACGTCTCTGGACTGCCGGACGATGGTGTTTGACATACCTTGTGGTTGATGAGGTCGTCGTCCTCGGTTTTGATGCCGAGCTTGACCTTCATCTCCTTGAGTTTGGCTCTCTGCTCGAATATGGCCCGATCAAAGGTAAGTAGTTCACGTTTGAGCATCTCGCGCTCATAAGACTGGATGATGAGCTGCCGACCATCTTCAAGTTCTCTGCGAAGTCGCTTGAGTTTCTCGGCGCTCTGAACGTCTCGTTGCCGTGTCTTTCGCGTTTGTCTGGCCTCACGGCGTCGGAAACACACATATGGGTCGGCCTCGTCACTTTCCTGATGTGTCTCGAACTTGACGCTTGGGTGAATAGGTTTGTTGCCGAGCGTCTGCCGGCGCGTCTTCCAGTGCTCGTAGACGTACTTGGAGTGCGCCATGAGCTTGTTGCCACCGAGCGAGGTAAGAGAGGGCACCATCAGATCATAGCCGACCACTGTGTTGTCTATGGAAGCGAATGGAGTCTGTTCAGAAGCTGTGTCTTCGAACACTTCCATAATGCGCTCAAAGTCATCTTCTGACAGTTGAGAGGCGACTGTCTTCTTGGTGGCATTGTACTGCTTCAAGAACTCATCATCCTCAGTTGTCATGTCATACGAAACGCCAATGCATTCCTCGACAGTCTGCGAGAAGCGAATGAAAGAGGTAGGTTGCTGAAAGTTACTGGGGTAGAGTTGATCATAGTTGATCTGACTCTCCTGAGGAGGCGGGACAGGAATTTCTTGGTCATTGCTGGTGCCTGCCTCTTTAAGAATTGACTGGAGATGGTATTCCTATTGATTTGCGGTCAGTATGTGGCTGTTGTTGCTCTGGCGAGCTATAAGTGAGAAGTGGATAAGCCGGGGGTGCCAAGGCATATCACATGGTGGGTCACGTGATATCTGGCTGCGATATGGGCAAAGACGTGACTCACAGTTTCTTCGGCGGCTTCGACACCGGTCGCGATTTGAGTCTCGGTAGTCAAAGATTCGTACTCAGCAGCATCGATATCGGTCTCTCTGAGCACAGGAAGAAGCGTCTTGACGCTCAACTTCTTGACTCTAACTTTCCTGGTTGACATGGTGGCGGGTGGGGGTCGAAGGCCGAAAGCCAGCGGAAAATCCGCGAAAAAAGTCGATCAAGTCATACAAGGGGTCATGCGACGTTGATTTTTGAAGTTTTGACGGATAAAAATCGTGGTTGTTGGCTTAGGATTGATGGTCGATCTGTTGCTGGCTATGAGGCGACGTTGATTTGGCGTTTGGCGTGAAGAAGAATTTTCCTGTTGCGCTTCTACGCAGTAAGGTAGGACCTTTCGGGTTGGATTTGGGCGTTCAAGGTACCGTGCAATAGTAGACGTGCTGTAGAGGTACTTCAGGACGCTCGGGCCAAAAGAGATGGATCGGAGTTGGAAAGCAAAGACTGGCCGACACGTCCCATGAAAGCGACTGGCACCTGCCCAAGGGACGCCTGGGAAAAGGGGAAGCTGCTAGTCACGTGCCATCCCCAATCTGTCAACATCAGAAAGCCGCAAGAGCGATGCTAGGTAGGTACCAGGCGTCTAAGTGACAAAAGGTAGTCCTGTCTCTTGTTCCTCACCACCAAAGTCCGGTGTTTGAACCGATATAATACGCATTGAATCTCAACTCATTCATTTCGTTCCATCCTCCCGAAACTCAAATGTGGTGGTAATACATCTGACACTTCGCAAGCCCGTTCAGGTCGTACGTCAGACAATGAGATCTAGAGCTGGCCCGTGCGTAAGCACTCTGCGGTGGGCTCCGGTACAGCTGCCCGAATCCAATCCGGCGCCTGGTCGCCGCCTGGCCGCCGCCTGACTTTACTTCGACTACCTGCCGCACTGCACCTTGGCCTTGTTCCTGTCAACCTCCCTATTCAAGGCGAACCCCACGGCGAACTAGCGAAGTCGAGCTTGACACAAGCCCACCCAACTGCGACGACCCTGGAATATTTCCTGCCAACTACACCGTGCACCCATACAGCTTTTAGTCGAGTCCGATATCGAGTTTCTCCATCATGGGCAACACTACCAGTACGGTGTTGGACAACATCGTCCAGGGGTCCAACTGTGAGCCCCTCCCCCGCAGTCGACTTCTTTGTCGCACAGACTTCGCTGTGCTGGAGCTGACCGGTATGCAGTCGACAGAGAAGAAGTTGACCGTCTGAGGAAACGTTTCATGAAGCTGGATAAGGTGTGCATCCCCTATGGCCTACTCATTTCCTTTTCCATTGCGCTCAACGGCGATCCGTTTGCCACCAGAAGACAATGTTGCTAACCCTTCTTTCGTGCAGGACAATTCCGGCACAATCGAGCGCGATGAGTTCCTCAGCCTGCCCCAGATTTCCTCCAACCCGCTTGCCACGAGGTAGCCAAAATCCTTCCGATGCAATATGCTGCGAATCACGTTACTAAAGCGATCTTACACAGAATGATTGCGATCTTTGACGAGGATGGTGGCGGTGACGTTGACTTCCAGGAATTCGTATCAGGCCTCAGCGCCTTCTCCAGCAAGGGCAACAAGGAGCAGAAGCTGCGCTTCGCCTTCAAGGTGTACGATATCGATCGCGACGGGTACATCAGCAATGGTGAGCTCTTTATTGTGCTCAAGATGATGGTTGGAAGCAACCTTAAGGACCAGCAGCTGCAGCAGATCGTCGATAAGACCATCATGGAGGCCGACTTGGATAAGGATGGCAAGATCAGCTTTGAGGAGTTCACCAAGATGGTAGAGAACACGGACGTCAGCATGAGCATGACTTTGGGTGAGCATCCTATCCCATTTGCGTGCCTTTCTGGCTTCAACTCGTCACGGCCGAAGAAGAAGCTAACATCTGTTTCTAGACACGTTTTAGAGTTGAACACGGCGGCGGGCGAGCACATCAGGATCATGAGACATGAATTGCAACAATCATTATTCGAGGTAGAGATAAACTATCCCCCGGAGCGACATCACGGTCGTCAAATGTGCCTGGATTGCAATATCCGGGTCTAAAACAGCGTTTCTTTGTCTGTTGCGTCCAACTATGCTAGTCTATTGAAACGTGATGACAGCCAGTGGTCGTTATGTTTCGATGACCCTTGTGAACAGACACAACGGCCCGAGTTGTGGCCGAAGACGATAATGTGCATGCATTTATGGAGCTTTCAAGCAAACCAGGCGGTTGTGATCGTATCGCAGTTAGCTAGGTGGCTCGAAACACTACTGCTGCTTATGCGGCAACATACTCGGTGCTAGGATTTCTATCCCTCGAACCGTATATTCGTGGCACGTTCCTTAAACCTCTCACTTGTTCTGCGAATAACTTAACTGCGATAAGTTCGAGGCTATTATGACTAGATTCCTTCCTTCAGTTGGTACTTTGGTTGGAGCCAACTGGGTTGTTTTCGTACTCCAAAGCTAGCCGCAGGTAAGACTGACGGAAAGTTGAGAGAACCATTAGACGTAGTCCCCCACTATTGGACCACTGGGACTGCTTGTAGATTGGCCTCAGAGCATGAGATTATGTCTCGCGTTCCTCCCTATCCGTGGGGTTTCATCAGAGACGCTTAGAATGTTAGACATGATGAGCAACTGTTTCCCAAGCCTAGATACAGGGTGAACCTAAGGAGGCATACGTTACCAGTATACACTAATGGCATTCACGTAAAGAGACAATTGCAATGAATGACTACATACAAGCCCCTTTGATCAACTAGAAACAAATGATACAACAAACTGTTCCCCGTGGTCGCTACACCAGCCACCATTCTACGTGATATTCGAGATATGTCCCTTAGCCTCATTTCCTGTCCGGAGTAAATACAATTTTGGTATTGATTACAGCCTGGAGCAGTGTGTCCTGGATCTATGAATCATGGCCAGAAGTTCAATATTGATCCGAAGTCGCGATGCCCAAGGTAAAATGGAGCGTAAGTGATGATTAGCCAAGTACTTCAGTGAGATGATTCAAACTCGTGGATGCTAGTCCTTGTCATCGTGGTCTCAAATCGAAACGTGCTATTGAAAGACTGTGACTTCAAAATAGCTCATACGGCGATCGAGATTTCGGTGGAATAGGCCCCCTAGATTCGCGACACTACATACAAGCCAGAGAGGAATATATGATGCGCATCGAACTGTAGCAGGTACCCGACGGGAAAACCGACCATGTCAAGAACGATCATGTCGACACTCGAGATCAGAACTTGACAGTGATCTCCTTCCTCTCTATCATGGATTCGGTGATGAATATGTGGTATCGGGTTGGCCAGGAGATTTCCACGTACACCCTCGGTCGTCGAATTCAAGAAAAAGGCGGAAATCTTATTCTTCGTGCATACGAAAGATAAGAGGCAGCAGTAATTAATCGCCACGAACCTGGATTGTACCCTAGGCATTGTACGTGATTATCACACCAGCTCGGGTCATGCTCATCAGACATGTAAGTGTCCCCAAAGCTTGACTACTTGCATTCTCGAGGACTGCCACATCGAAATAATGATGACGACAACCCACATGAATGGCGCAATGGAGAGTTGCTGGGGATGAATGGATGGATAGGAAGGAGCGCCTGATAGTCCATCACTGCCACCTGAAGATGCACTTTCCTTCTATCGATAACTTTTCTAGCTCCTTCCTACAGGCTCAATATGTCAACAGGCCTCCGTATCTCTTTGGGTTTGCACTTCTCTAACCGTTCCCTTGACAGCCCAAGTCTTCTTCATGCTTTACCTCAAATCATCACCTGTCATTCCAGTGCCATCAGCTCTTGATAGCTTGTGGCAGACGGCCCAAGTATCCGAGAAGTCCGCCATGCTCCAGCGTTCATGCTCATTGTCGGAATACCTACATGCTGATGTTATTCTCGGAAAATTGGACAGTGCAATCGGGCCAGATACTGGACTTTCCTCTGATGTGCCCGGCTTTCAACAACACATCCATTGGCATTTCACTGCAAGGACGTCGTCTGCCCACGGCCATCCGTCGACAGATAGCACCCCAGGCCGATCGCCAATGCCAATCGCAATTGAGTCGCCTACTACGAAATCTGATAGATAGGACGAAAGCAAAGTATCACAGGTATCTCACTCGATCAGAAGTGGACAGCCAAATGTCGATATCACAAGGATGACATCGCCTTCAGTGAGGCTTATGCCGGACATTCCAGGTCTCTACCTCTATCTAAGAAGACGGTCAAGGGGTTCGACGAAAGAAAACACCCATAAACTTGTTGACTTACACCCATATCGGACCGGTCGCAACACATTGCTCAAGACGGAAAAAAGCTTGATACAACTGGGCGTAGCCGAAATAGAGTTTACCGAGGGAACGGTTAGCGGTAGCATCCGATCGGAAGGGCGTATGACAGTGAGCCAAAGCCATGTACAGGCTTGCTGAGAGTCGACATGGTGTCACTAAGTTCTACGAAGTTATCGTTGAAGTTCCCTTCAGAACCATGTCTTGCTTGCTAATTTGTCCAGTCTAGGAACTCCGCGTGTGCGGAATTACAACCAGTCATTCGTAGGCTATCCAGGTAGTCACGTATCTCTCATATCGTTCCATTTCTTCTGGGCTAAACAATTGGCAGCTGCTCTTACATCGTGTACGACCTATTTCCCCTACGATATTTGGTGCAGCTGCTCTACGCCCATCTCTACGCCCATGGAAAGGCACGCTACATGCAGCCAGAAAGGCAGGCCTTCGAGACAGACCTCTCTGATGAGTCCAGAATGGCGCTCTATAAGCTTACTAGACAAGCCCGCCGAAGACACGGATGTTGTGTGCTGGAAAGGGACGAGCTTTCAAGTGAGGCCGGACGGGATGGACCCGCCAAACCGGCGCCCTTGCCGGCTTTGCCGGGTCAGTAATCGCTCCAGTGGGTACACGGAGATGCGTGGTGGCCAAATGAAATAATGCCGGATCTTTGAACGAGTGGCCGGAGCATGTATAGGTACAACAGGCAAAGCTCCACCGTGTTGATTGTCTACATGGATGATCAGATCATGTCTGTCCACTACCAGGGACCTCTTTTCCTTGTCTCAAGCAAGTCCAGCCCATCCTGTTGTGGAGCTACAGGGCGTCCGGGAAAGTGACAGGTCAGATTCCCAAATCAATTCAGCGAAAAGGTATGCAAGTCTCAACCCTGCCCCCAGGCATTCCAGCCATGGCACCGGAAATTTAGGGCAGAAAAGGGGAGGGTCAGAAGTCGAGTGAGGGTATGCTTGCCAACAATCGGTGCTGCTCTAGACTCGTCTAGGTCAAGCAATATGGCAATGTAGCGCTTTGCACCTTTACTCCCGAGCCGGCACCTATTCTATCATGCTCGAGCGGTCAGACACAGGGTATACCCGAGATCTGCGTCTCTTCCCGCTACTTGGATCCCGCCCGCCATCTAGAGTGCTGGGCTCGAGGGGCGAGGCGCCTACTGTGACCAAGTAGGGATGGGCTTGCTCGCGCGCCCAAGGCTCAGAGCCAAAATAGACGCTCCATATACCATGCCTGGTTCCAGACGAAGGCGTTCGCTGATAACACACTATCACCGAATCACTTTCTATATACGGTCCAAACGAAGTGCTATTCCTTATCGACACCCAGCAGAAGCAAAGTATTCGCTTTACACTGGGCTCCGGTTGCCATATTCCATGGTAGATAGATAGCCTTGCTCCAGCACAAGAACAAGGATAGGAACTCAGCCGTGTTTCAATATCTCTACACCCTTGCCGGCAACACAAATACATACCACCACTGCTCACTGTGCCGCGATCTGCAACTTGGTGCCCTGCCCCTCGGAGATCAGAGACAGCGCCATACCAACTCCCTGTCCCACTCCGCCTCGAAGCAAGCCTCGTCTAGCTGCAATCTCATTGCTTGTTCCAGTCTGGTCGTTCCGTGCCTTGGAACAACACTAGCTAAGGGCTGAAATATTGCTAAGCTTACAGCTATAGCTATGTTCAGGTGTCTTCTTATGCTCATGCCCCAATATGTCACTACAAATAAGTCAGTGTGTGCGACCAATAAGCAACAGCGCTAATGCGCACTAACACGGAAGGTCCCAAGCAGCCGGACCCCATGATCCCTTACTCTTCAGACATCAAATAAGACGGAACCAAAACCTCGTCTCTGAGCAGTCGACCAGCCTCATGCAAGGTCATGGTCACTTGTCATACCGCGGTACTATCCTACTCATATCTGACCTATCCATTGCTGGGATTCATACATTTCTGGCTTCCAAGGTTGGTCCAACCAGACTGAAAATTGATTACCTTGCTTTTCCAGCATGCATTACTACAACTTCGTGTTACAGATTTTTGGCGACCAAGACTGGCGGGGATCGCGGGGCAACCCGGTCTGTGGGACGACGTGCAAAAGTCCATGGAATTCGCAAGCCTCGATCCGTTTGTCACTCTGTTGCGAGCTGGAGGGGCTTGGTCCCATCTCGCAGCTGCGAGCAAGTGTGAGCAGGCGGGAAGTGGGAGGCCACACTTTCAGCCAGCAACCTGCATTAGCTTTGTCGAGTTGCAAACGCCCATGCCGCCCATAGTCTCACATCGCGTATGTAGGGAACGGCTGAGCTGACATGAGAAAGAAAAAAGTTGCGATGCCCTGCAGAAAAGCTGTCCTGCAGATGTCGCTTCCCGCGCCCATCCGCAGGCCACAAACGAAATCCCGGGAACATGCGGCTGACTTACTGGCCCACCGATTTTGACGAAGGTTCTTGTCTGACAATGTCAAATGAACAAGCCTGAGCGTGGCAACCTAATAACGACAAGCCACAGGCCCCGGATGCCGCTGTCTCCCTCATAATCACTGTCAGGTCGAGATTGCTGCCTGACCGTAGGGCACCGCAGACAGGCCTCCGAAGGCTGGCCAGAGAGAGAGAGGAGCCGTCAGATTTCCGTGTAAAGCTAAGATCGGCCTACCTTTCCAGGGTCCAACAAAGCTTCCCAAGTTGCGGAGGAGAGTCACGTCTGGTCTTTGGGCTGATAGGCCCGACCAGAGGTTCGATGCGGTCTGGACTTTGCAGTAGACTGCTCTCCATCTTGCGTCACTAGCCTCCTTCTCCAAGGCGGGAGATCGGCGCAGATTAACACGGTCGTCATTTTCAAGCCGACCAGTCAATCTTGTTGGTAAGGCGCATACACCGCCTATCACAGCCAGCCCTAGAGAGGCCGATTGGGCAGGAATCACTTCTGCGATCAGGTGCCACCCTTCCCCCTCTCTCCTACGTCTCCCTTCCCTTCATCCCCCCCCCCCCCCCCCCCCCCCCCCCCCCCCCCCCCCCCCCCCCCCCCCCCCCCCTCCCCCCCCCCCCCCCCCCCCCCCTCCCCCCCCCCGCCCCCCGGGGGGGGGGGCGCCCCGCCCCCCCCCCCCCCCCCCCCCCCCCCCCCCCCCCCCCCCCCCCCCCCCCCTCTCCGACGTCTGCCCCGGACTGCCTTCCCCCAATCCATTTGCCCGGGCCTCCGAGCCCGCATTTCTCGCGTGGCGGCGGCGGTGGGTCAGGTTGACCGCCGCCCACCCCTCTCTCCCGAAACTGCGTTATGGTGTGTGCCCGCCACTTGATCACCCGCATGAGGCTTACAAGGCCATGTTCAAGGGACCTTGCCCGCATATTGCCCATTATTGTTCTTATCAAATAAGCGTAGGGCAGAAAGATCGACGGTGAGGCGCCGGCCGAGGCTAGCGCTTTTTCCAACAACCACACTTTGTTCGACGTCCAACAGTCATCAAACGCCGAGCTGGCCGGCAATCCTACCAAAGCAAACAACCATGGAAAAGAAGACGGCTGAATTAGCTGAGCAGAAAGCTGGGTTACATTTCCTTCGCTAGTTGCTCTTTTTTTTCTTTCTTTCTTTAATTTCTTTGCATATCTCACACCCCCCCGGGCGTATCTCGCATACTTGCACGGCATTCTGAACCGGCATCTGGTGGCTTCGCGGCTGCCTTGCTTTGCATTGCGCATCATTGTCTATGCATCATCCGTCTCTCTTTTGATTGATGGTAACAAGGTACAGACAGGTACGTGCGTACATACATACAGCTGCCGAAGTTACTTCGGGCAGAAGAATAACCAAAAAAAAAAACCCTAAAAAACCAAAAACAAAATGACAAATAGGGAGAAAAGAAGAACCCGAAGAAACGAATAGAAGAAACAAGAACAAGAAAACAAGAGATGAACCCCACCACCCAATTTTTTCTTGCGCAACGACGCAAAGCTCGTGAGAGCATCCAGGCCTGATCTACTACAATACCATAGGTATACATGATTTCTACGACAGGGAAAACAAGAGAGACATACACACGTACATACGTACAACACCAACCCCCCACCCCCGCCCCCATCCTACACACACACACACAAACTCTCTCTCACGCAACTCGGTGCCCTTTTCCTTTTTTTTTTTTTCCCCGAAGTCTTTTTTCCGTTTTTGTTTCTCATCCCTTCGTTTGCGAGTATCCGGCCTCACTTCTTGAGCGTTATCTGGTGGGCCATCTGCGCCGCGCATTTCATCGTTCGTCGTTCCTCCCGAGTTGCTTTCCTGGTACGCCCATCTATGACCGTCCTTCCGTGAGATTTCCCATTCCCCTTAGGTTTTTTTCTTAACACCACGCACACCCCCTTACCGCTTATACACAGACACACACCACCCCCCTTGGCTTAGGAAAAAAAAGAAGCCCAAAATCCGCCACCCACATCTCTCTCCCCGTCTTTAGATTTCTCTGTCGTCTTAGCTGACTGTGCCACCGTTCCCCCGTCTGCGGTTTGACCTAGGCAGGTTCAGCCTAGCCGAAGCTTGGCCTACAAGCACATGGACATGGGCATCGGCAGGAGAGCGGAGATATCCTGCAAAGAAAAATGAGAAAAGAAAGAATCAAGAGATGTGTTAAGAAAAAAGAGGAAAAGAAGAAGAAGAAGAAAAAATAGAGAAGAAAACCACAAAGGGTTAGCCCATTGAGGATGCTGACATAGATACCTGATGCCTGCCCAACCACCTGTTGGAATGCGTGAGAAGGATGATGAGAGCAGTTATCCTCCCTGAAGAACTCCAAAATCCGCGTAACATCGTGTTGGGTCTCCGTCTCTCGTAACAAGACGTTTCCAACTGCCGAGAATGTACATTGAGGGGGAAGAAAAGAGAATAAAATGAGGCCGCCCACAAAAGCCGACCGCCCAGGCGCCACCATGAATACGTTTACGGGCATCTAGACATTGCCCTGAGATGTACGTTTCTTGGGATTTGATCTCAGGGCGAAGCAGCCGACTAAACCCCAAGTCTTCCTTTTATCTGCTTCCTTGATGAGAGCCGGACCCCGTTTGAGCTCCGCCGCCGCCGTTGCCGCTCGATTCTTCATTTGCCTCGTACTGGTCGAGGCAAGCTTCGATGACTAGGAACGGCATTGTCAGCATGGATGCCTTCCCTCACGCGACGTACAAAGTTGGGATCGTCCGGGGGCTTACTCTCTATGATCTGCTGCTCCCATACTCCGTATTGGTAGTCGACCAGACCATGTCGCTCAATGCCGTCGCAAAGCCGGACGAGCTCTTTGCCCATTTTTTCAAGGCCTTCCTTGGGGACCAAGGTCTGCGATCGCTGCAGCTGTCTGCCCGGCTCCATCAAATCCTTCTGCATCTGGAATAGTGAGAGCCACGCGTGATTGAAGTCGTTCCATAGTTTGATTCGGTCTCCATGCAAATTTTGGTCGTCCAGGTTGAGGCCTGTGAATTGTCATTGCATTAGTAAATCTGAACCAGAAGAACCCGAAACTCCAATACAGAGCTTGGCGCGAGTAACAGAGCAGAAAGGGGGGGGGATCCAACATACCCAGATCGACGACCTGCGTCAGGAGCCAGTTTGACACATCCAGAAGTGACTGGCTGGCGCTTTCGAGCACACCATTGCGGACATTTTGGAAGACACCCCGCAGCGCAGACTGGTATTCCATCCATTTTTCTTCCAGGCCGCCTGTGGCAGAATAGTCCTGCTCTTCCATTGACACGTCGGCACTCGAAGTCTGCTGTGGCATCGCGCCGACGTTAGGGATGTTCGCCTGGTAGTTGGCCATCTGTGGCTGTTGATATGCCGTCGCCGTGGCGCTCGCCGGTTGCGCATGGGGAAGGTTGGAGGTTCCTGTGCTACTACTCGGGTCATTGGAGAAGTACGACGTCGACACGTCTGTCGGCAAGATCGGAGCAGCTGCAGGCTGCCGTTGGAATTGCGCCTGGTTATCGTAGACGGAGCCCGTCGCACCAGTCAGGTTGTCGTATCCCATCGTCATGGCCGCGTTGTATCCACCGAAATTCTGCGCCGGACGGCCGTCCTGGCTATATCCTGAGGGGTAATGCATAGTATTCGCCGCCATGGGCGCGTTGAAAGAGCCTGCTACCGGCTCTTGGTAATTGTAGGTGCTGTAGCTACCCGTGCTTCCCATGCCTCGCGCCTGCGAGGGCGAAGTGTTTAGTGGCGCTGGCCTGTTGTATCGCTCGGTCGAACCTGTAGCCATGTTGCGGCGCTGCTGCAGAGGGTCTTGTTGCTGTTGTTGTTGCTGTTGTACGTTATATCTTGGGTTGGAGGTGGGATGCATGGGCGCTTCATTCTGCCTCCGACGGCGATTGGGATCATCTATCCCACGAGGGGTTTGGTCGCCGGTCGGCTCCGAGGGCAAGCCTACCGTATGCGCCGGCGGCAACGGAGCTGGCGATGTATACAGTAAGGCCAGTTTGGGCCGTCGGACCGGTCACAAGACCGTCCAATTGTCGTGTTGGGGTCCGTCAAACGCTACTGCGTTCCTCTCCCTCTTGCCTTGTCTTCCTCCGGGACTAGCGTGTCCAAGATAGCCAGGCTGTGGCGTGTAACGAAATTTCTTTGCTGATGACAGCGGACGACGCGGGGAGCTATTTTGTCCAGGTGTATATGGCTCCGCGAAGCAAGATGAGTTGTCGACGTGTCGCGCAAAGTGAAAACAGATAGAGGTCTGGACTCGACCAGGCGGTACTGGCGGATGGTAACGTCGCGAGCCTTAATAATGGCGAGGCAAGGTCGGTGCCGATGGATTCCAAGATGTCAAAAGAGACAAAGGTAAGGAAGCGTTGACTTGGACCTGGGGGTCGGAGAGCCTGATGTGTGATGCCGATGTAGGGTCTGTCTGATGTCGAGCCGGGCAAAGGGCAGCACGGGATGGGCTGGCAGGTTCCTCGGGCGGCGGGTAATAGAAGTGGCTTTTATGAATTGAATTGGGAGGGAAGATGGCGGATAGAGTAAAGGATGGGGAGAACAAGGAAGTTAACTGTTCAGACTTGCTTGTCGCGACCAGCTCGGCGAAGCTAGCGCCGGTCTACTTCATGCCCTGACGCCTGAAGGTTCGGGAAGACTAGACGAAGACTGGCGACGAGTCGTTGGTGTCTTGTGAGTCGTCAGAGAAGTTTAGATTTTGGTAAACAAAAAGCCAGCGAATGGGGTGGATATCGCGCTGAGTTGTCAAACTGGTGTCAGGTTTGATACCAGGAAGATCCTGGATGGAGCATGCACCACGATGTCCAACATTACAAGCCGGTCCCTGCGCGATCTGCTTGGGCAATGAAGCCGCACCAGGGTCTCAGCGACCACCGAGTCGCCTTGACGCAAGATGCGATTCGTCAGAGCAAGAGCAAGCGTCGGGCGGACCGATCTGGTCTTGAGATGAGGTTGGTGACCCGAGGCTTGGGCCTTGAGCCTTGAGAGAGGCTGTGCGGCCGTGTGCTGGGTTGGGGGATATGGGGCTTGTGGTGAGGCTCGTGATGTGGATGGACCAAGACCGAGGACCACTTTTACTGCTCGTAGCTTAGTGCTGCGAGGCTAGACGCGAGTCTATGTAGCCTTGGAGAGGGGAAGGGGGTTCTGCTTTTGCCTGACAGGGAAGAACTGGGTAAGCTTGTGACGATGTGAGAGATGTTATGGGGCGGATTCGGGGTGTTGGTGTGGAGGAAGACGTGAACGGTAGTCTCGGGGTTGGTCTTATAACATGGGAGGGATGCAGATATGGGTCGATGCCGGCAGGATCAGAATGAAAGGAAGGGTGTAAGTAGGGAGTGAGGGGAGAAAAAAAAGTAATAAGAGGGCAGATGAAAAAAAAGCAATGATAATCCAAAGAGACCTGGACTAAAATGGGGGTAACTAGGTAGGTGGGTGTGAGTGAGTGAGTGACATTGATACATGGGAAGAAGTGTGTGTGTGTGTGAGTGAGAGTGTGCGAGTGAGAGTGAGGCCCGGGAACTTAAGGTGAGGCGGGAAGACAAGCAGCTGCTGCCAGAGTGAAAAAGAAGAAGAGACAAGCAAGCACTTGCCTTCCAATCCAAAGGGGAACAGACCAATGATGGAAGCTAGGTAGACCAAGCCCAAGGAAGTCTGTGCCGGGAGGAGGGGACGGATGGGACTAAAAAAGAAGACCCGAAGCCAGTGGCAGAGACAATGGCGAGCGAGAGGAGCCCAACAAGTACCACTACCGGTCGGTTGATTGTAGTGTAATGCAGAGCAAAAGAGTAATGAACCCGGCAGACAGCGCCGTGGTCGAGGAAGTATCCGTTCCGTGGAGTAAGGTAGGGCAGATTCAATCCAAGTGCGGCTAGATGGCCCCAAAGAGAAACAAGCTGGACCTCGTACCGCGCCAGGAAGACCCAGATGTAATCTAAAAGTGGTTTTACCTCAAAAAAAAAAAAGTGAAGAGGCCGAACTGGCTCAATGCCTGCTGACAAGTTCGTCTTCTCCAAAAGGATTGCCCTGGTCCAAATGCGCGTGGCAGCCCAGCAAGAGAACTGCGGGCAAAAGAGTAAAAGTGCGGCACCAGCAGAGCAAAGTAGCGGCCGTAGCGGAACGAACCTGCGAGATGGAGCTTTGAATCTTTAATAAGGTATGGATATAGTTGTCGAACGACGTCGAGAACCTCGAGCTGGATCTGGAGTTGGGGAGATGAAGTTGGAGCTGACACCCGGCCGAACGAGGCACGTTATGCAGCGATCTGCAAGGTAATGTCGAAAGATGGGGGTTCCCTGGTTGGCAACCGGCTGTCTGGTAAAGAAGGCGTAGTGGACAAAAATGGACGAGATGCAGGCGATAGATGATTGATGGGTGTGGACATTGACGTGGGTGCGAGAGACTGAGTGTGAGTGGGCGATCGAGTGTCTCTCTTGCAATGGAGGGTGGGCTTGTGCTTGTGTTGGCGCCGACGATGGGTAGAGGCAGGATAGGCGGATGGCAAGGGGGTGTGAGATACGAAGACTTGGGAGAGGTAGTTGTATCTGATGTATCTTTCCTTCCGATTGTTGCTGAGTTGAAGAGCAAGAGAAAGAGAGCAAACGGCTTGAGAGGCAGGCAAGTAAGTAAGACTTGAACTGGCCGGGTAAGTCTGGACAGGTGACCGCTGCAGTGCGTGCTGTAACACTTTACGACTACCCCGAGTAAGAATGACGAGACGAGGTGTTTGGAGAGAAGTAGATGAAGAGAGAGAGAAGAGCGAAGGTGGGTGCGCGTATGTGTGTGTGTGTGTGTGTGTGTAAGAGAAAGACAGAAGAGTCAAAGGTGGTAAGAGTAAAGAGGCTTATGCAGCAGAGCCAAAGCCAACTGGCTCACACCCCATAACCGGGGCTAGTTTGCGAGCACAGAGTCAGGTCTTGTCAGGTGCCTTGCGCTGGGTTCGTCTGCAGGACTCTGGAATGTAAAGCCGCAGAGAGCTTTGGGTTTTGCTACGGTAATCGCTGGTGCGTTATTGTTGGTGAGAGTTGGGCGGTCTGATCTGGTAGTACGGATGACCTCAGGATAAGTAAAGCTCGATGGGGTACGGTGTGAATGAGTAGAGATAGGCGATGGACAGTTGTCGATTGAAATATCGATATAATGAAAAACGCGGCAAACGGGCGGCTCTCTTCTTTCTTCCACACTTCCTCAGTATCTGAGAGGAGTATTGAGGGGGAGACAAGAGGTATGGCTCAGCAGAGTGTATCGAGAGGACGGACGGGCGGACAGACGACGAGAGATGAGATGGGATGGGATGGATGAGATGGAAGCAAAGCAGCCGGCTCAGCCAGGGAAAGACTGCCATGGGGGTGTGCTGAGCTTGCTTGTTGGTCCCCTTCCCATTCTTCCCACCCCTTCGTTTTCTCTCGTCTGTTTCGCGGCAGTGATGGGGTTGCTCGAAGCACGCCCTTCCATTCTCTTTCACACCCCATCGGGGGCTGACATACCTACGGTACTTGCCTATTGCACCTTATGTCAGTTTGTATTGCTTCATCGTCACTGGCTTTGCTGTACCTCGTGTTTAAGCCATGTCTCCTACTCTACCTACTTGATCGGGCATCGACTCTTGAGAGAGTCCTGGCATGGTTGGATGCCACTGTCCCTTTCATTCTACAGTTCTGCTCTGGAAAAGTTCGGCCCCGGTGTCTGTAAAAGTCAATGTGTCCGCCCACACTGTGACCCGTTTCGTTTCGATTTTCTGCTCGATGTCGGGCGGGTCTGAGTAGTTGGGGTCATCGATATGACTTAATCCGTCATCTCCTCTTCTCAATAATACCAGCTACGATTTGAGTTCCTCCGATCGGGACCGCAGGCGGTCGGGTTGCTGATGAAGCTGAGACAAGAGATCACAGCTGATTGACTGAATGAATGAAAAGAATGATACAGAGTCCCTGTCCTGCTCTACTGCTTTCCCCTCGGTGCGATGCCAATGACGAGCCCCCTGGACGATGAGCTGGAGGGATCGTAAAAGTTAAAAAAAGTCTGTGAGCACCCAGATGGCTGGATTTGGGGGCGTTGTTTATTACCTCTATGAGACAAGCCCAGTGACCCTTGTTCGTAGGTACTCCTTCGCCTCCCCTGGCTCTCAGCCAGGGGGAAGCGCACTCCAGCCACTCTTCCACACAATTGCTTGCATTTCTTTTGTGAAGCACCTTTACCCTCTTCTTTCCCCGGCACATTGTTTTCCGCCGAAAGGCCTTGTCACTGGGTCCCATTTGGAACCCTCGAGGCACCGTAGTCGTTAGCCTGGCTTCGATTGCTTCTGTCGGTAGAGCTTCAGACCCCAGATAAAAAGCCCTTCAATGATGAGGCGAGGCGAGGCGATGCACTGCCGATGCCGAATGACGTACATACATCGTCGTCGTAGACACCCACTTCAGTCCATGGCGGAGCAACAGACTGATCGTCAGCTTCGGAGCGGAGGAGGGAAAAAAAAAGAGGAGAGACTAGGTAGAGCATGACAAAGCCGTCGAATCTCTCACACTTCAGATGCTCGAGACAACGATAAACCATGCTTCAAGTGTCTCTCGCCCTGGCTGGCAACCTCGTTGACTAAGAAATCGGAACTTGAAGCGCATCGTTATGCGAATGGGGTAACCGTTAGCCGGTACAGACCAGCTAGCCAAGTCCCAGCTAAACTCGATACTTGAATCGTGCAGCAACTGCATCCCTACAAAGGAACCCGACTCGTTATGGCCTCCAATTCCAGCCAATAGCCAAGCCCCCGTCCACTGGACTTCGAGACGCTTGTTTGGGCTTGGCCTCTGATAATATGCGTCAAACCAGTGTGGGATAGCGAACCTCAAGCTGACAATTGAAGCCCGATTTCTCAGGTTTCAGAGCCACCAATGAAGCCAGCAGGAACAGCTTTTTCGCCGCGATTCAGTCAAACTTGGGGGGGAGATACCGATGTGCAACGAGGCAAATCGAGCCGTCTCGGATTGGGGGGGGGGGGGGGGCAGACACTGCACGTTAACTGCAGATTTCGTGTGAGGGGGAAAAATCCCAGATGGAAAATGGCCCGAGTCGGCCCCCAAGAAAAATTGGGCTAAAAGGAAATCGGTGGAGCAGTTGTCAAGTCAAGACCAGACAGGAAGAGGCTTCCGTTCCCGCGAGTCTCTCATTGATAGAGTCTTCGAAGCCAATGGAAGGCGAGAAATGAAAATGACAAGCCGCCATTTGGAATATTGGAAAGGGGGCCAGCCAAGTTGACACACAAGGACTCGAAACCCCCTTTTGCTGACGAGTGCGAAAAAAAACCGAATGGTATTGATAACCTGCCCGAACCAGACCAGGTTCGGCGACTTGGTGAGACTCGACGATGCCCAATGGGTGCGGTGATGGAAGCCTCACTTTTCGATTTACCGGTCTTGGATGGCCATTTCCCTAAGTGCATCCGAGTAGGTATTCTTTCACGAGACGAAAGGGAAAGCGGCACGGACGTTGACACTTTCATTCGAGAAGAACATTATGCAGACGGGCCTTGGAGTACTTGATGGACGTGCATATCTGTGCAGTTCCAAGTCAATTGCAGCCTTCTTTTTAGGAGCAGTACTTTGCATGGTGCGTAGGTAAATAGAGACGGAGATATTTGAATCGAAGGTATAGGTACCTTGGTGATTGCAAAGTGAACACGCGTTGGCCTTGATGAAAGACAAGAACCATGAACCTTGCGCAAATGTCGAGCGTGCCAAGGGGCATATAGGTGAGCGCCAGAAAGGATTAGACGGGGAGCAACTTAGCAAGTGAGGTCGAAGAGGTCGATGCAAGACCCCGGTCAGGCGGCCAGGGTTGCAAACCTGGGCTCTGTGGGTTCCTGAACGAGTGCCGGTACCTTGCTTGAGTGGTTCGGAGTGTACGGAACGCGGCAATGTATCTGTACATTGTGGATATGGCTGTTCCTACTGCAGCTGCAGGGTTGAAGGTCACCCCCTCTCTGGTCCCCTCTCCTCTTAGTCGGGGCCCTTTTGAGGAGGAGCCCTAGCGATCCAGGGATCGTGCCTGAATACAACATTTCACACATGGACGGGCAGGCCTGTGAATGGCTCCCATTGCTCTATTGCGAATGTTGCAGAGGTCGAGAAGGTGGGGTTCGCCTGGCAGCTCGATGCAGCATCTGGCTGGACGATGGCTTCGGTTGGTCTTGTGTGGAACTCAGCCCAGAGAGGTGGTGTGAAAGCTTCTCAACTGCTTGCTTCAGGAACAGGAGCAAAACCCAACCAGCCTCGCTTGGTACTTGGCTTTCGGCAAACGAGGAGGAGGTGGGAGGTGATGAGCACCTGCAGTCGGAGTGTCCTCTGTCATTTGAGATTGCATTAGTCGGAACGCTCCCTGGACACGGCAAAAACGACCAGACCTTGCCTTACCACCAAGTTTCTCCCAGTAAGGTTCTGTGCCTCCCCTTGGCGAGGCATGATGTGTCTATAGTTGTATTGTTCATGGGGTCGTTTGTCGAGCCTGGGTGTGTGGCAGTGGTGGATGTATCCGTACGGATACCTTGAGTAAGCATGCTTTCCACCAAATTGCGGTGCATAGTCCAGACCGCGCATACGCAATACCTACCTCAGCCCGAGTACTTCGTACTGCACCTGGAGGCTCAGGGCGGATGAGATGAGGTGTATCCGTACCGTGTATGTACGGAGTATTGAGGTGAGGTCGGGTGAGGGTCGAGCGCGCGCGATTCGGACGTAGGTTGACCCGGACGTATTTGCGTTGCTTCCGCGGCATCAAGACGCAGGGGAACGAAATTGTGGTCTGGGGCTCAGTGCTCACAGACGTTGTGAGATGCCGCGATGTGGTGGGCCTCACATCTCCGGTGAAAAACATTGCGGTTCCGCTACGGATATGCTCCCATTACCAATGCCGTGCGTGAGCCTGCATTTCGGGGGGCTGGGATCCACATTTCGACGAGATTTCATCACGACAGCTCTGATCCAGCGGAATGAGATGTGAGAGAAGACGTCCGAGTGTTCCAGGTCGCTTCATCGCTTGTATCCGTACCCGTAGCATCCTACCTCTACACGCGTAAGATATGGAAGTTGCCTTGTAAGGTAGATGACGGTTATTGTCGTGTGAGGTGGCTGATAGAAGTGAGCTGTGAGGCGAGCTTTTGCCCCTTCCATTTTGGGAGATCGAGTGCCTTGATGCAGGGGACGCGCCTCCCCAATAGAATAGGTATGTACACGTACTGTTGACGCCTTACGGGCCTCAAAAAATATAGTATCAACTGAGGCAGGAAGTTGGAACGTCGGGGAAGCTATTTCGGGAAAGAACATCTCAGCGCACCTTCCATACTTCCATTTACTACTACAACATCCAAGGGCGGGCAGTATCCGTCTGTGTAACTTGCAAGTACATCGGTACTACCTACCTTATCACCCGACGAAGCCAGATACAAAATACTTTGGTTCATGCAATGGAAATGGAAAGCTTGCGTTCGCCGCGCTTGTGCTTTACCTACTTCATCATTGCTCCCCCGGGTACGATACATTCGGGTAAGGCATTCGGAGTAAAGATAAAAAGAGACGAGCAAGACATCCGGATCAAGTGCCGTCGGGTGTACATATCACGCTCTTCACACCAAGGTAAGGTAGACACGGAGTAATAGCTTAGTTCAAACCCTCGAATACCCGATAGGTCTAGCGGCCCACGGGTTTCCTGCTCTTCTCCAAAGTCAAACGCTGCGTCCGGCTAATGCATTCTAAGTACCACTGTGGGACTGGGGCGGAGTTTCTCCAACACGATTAATTTTCCCTCGATGTCGTTGGAGTCTTTCTCTTGACATCCGAACACCGTTCCTCTCCAGTCTCCAGTCTCCAAAGTCCAGCGTCCATTGTCCACTCATTCTGCCGCCCATCGTGCTGTCTGCTCCACTACACCCCACCATACCGGAATATACGCCATTACACCAACACCTTCTTCACACGCCGCCGGCCTTTCGATACCACCTACATCGTGTCTCCGTCCTGACCTTACTCGGTGTCTGTCTTTTTGCCCCAACTACCTTACCTTGCGCTAGTACTCACTACAGAAGCAAGAACCAAGGCCAAGACGACAAACCTTGGACCAGATAAAGCACGTGTGGTTACAGCGTTGAGTGCCAATCAAGCGCTTGCCCACACGCCTTGGGCAGCACGAACTCAATGGCCCAACCATACTTCTTACGCTGGGACGCTCCCGCCCACTTCTTCCTCTTCCAGTCGGGTTGATTGCATTCCCAACCTACCTAGCTCATCGGGGGACCAGCTGCCTGCATCCAAGGCTTCTCAAGACTCAAGGCACGGCTTACGGCTACCTTACCGCAGCAACTTAAAGTCCGGATGCAAGGCACCATGGCACCGCGCTGGAGTCTGGACAAGCAAAGCCTGCGTAAAGCGCGCTAAGAACGTTCAGAACCGCGCTTAGGTATGCCATCTGCGTTTGCGGCATCGCTTCAAGGTGAGGTTGGCTGACGTGGGGAGTCTCCAGCAACCTTCACGACGCCTTACCTAAGACGACGTAGCAGATGGTTTCAACAAAGCACCGTCACCTGCTTTTCAGCCGGCGTCGTCCCTCCAAATCCCCGACTCGTCTCCCGAGGCTTGTCAAATACCGTCTGTCTGTAGCCGTAACAATACAGCTTTGGACAGCGGATCTTCTACCAGATAACTGAAGGCCCGACTCAGCGGAGATGGGCGTCGTGCCTTGGAAACTGACCGCCAACGGTCGAACGAGAGGCGCCCAATCGCCGTCTTTGCTCTAGTCGAGATCACGTTTTCCATCTACACACACACCCTGAAGCATGCTTCCAAGGTGCTAGGTAGCCACCTGCGATTGTGGTGTGGCAGACCTAGCGTGTGCATGTGTTTGTGTACTTCACCCCTCCTCCAAGGCTCCAATACTTTCTTCCTCGGCATGGTCTGGCCCGTCACGCAGCCGTTGGATGTTCTTGGGCCGATCTCAGCCTCACACAAGGCGACTACCGTCGATCATCTCAACCGACGCCTGGTTGATCCCCGGAGCTCACCATGAGATGCTCACTCGCCAAAAGAAAGTCAGCCCGCAGAGAGATCCTTCCCCAACCTCAGTCCGATCTTCCATCCACTCAAGCACATGGCCTCAGAAAAGAATGTAACGTCGGAGGGTGTTTGGAGCACACGTTGGCAGCTCGAGCTCAATAGCCTCGTTATCGCATCGTCTAGCATTGTTCCGATCTTGCCTCCCTCCCAAACCACAAACCACTACCCACCACCCCATCCCGTCGTCTCAAGCTGCCATCACCGCCTCTGCCGCTACCGTTATTGCGCCTCGCCCGCCGGTCGATTGGTTCAGAACCTTTGTCGTTCCCTCCTTGCATCGGGATATACGCCCCATGCTCTCCCACGTTCTTGTCCAAAACGTACATGGCAATAGTAACGGCCTGCTCATCTCAAGTGCCGCCTTGCCTGATGCGGCGAAACCAGCCGAGTCGTGCTGTCCACCATCTCCAGCTTCACCCCCTGATTAAACCCATCACCGGAAGAACCAAGCCGTCACCGAAAACGGCCACCAAAAGGTGAAACCAGCTCCACGAACCTTCGATTTACTCGTGCCATGCTTCTAGAAACCTTCGGAGGACAGGACAGGCTTGAACGTCTGTGCTCTCGCTGTCGTCTCCTTTAGGGGTTACCTTGTGTGGGAAATTGAAACAAGGCCCTCGGCGGACGCACTTCTGCAACGTTGGCAATAGGGGCGCCATCACTAGCCTTGACGCCAGAGATGTCAACGCGCTTGCTCACGGACCCCTCTAATAACGTCCACAACTTCAACCCGCCCGCAGCTTTACACAGGTGCCAGCTTGTGGTCTATGATTCTGGCCTGATAATGACACACGGGGGCTACCTTCACTCTCTCTCAGACCCAGTTTCAATGCGCGCCGAAAAACCTTTCACGGCCGCTCCGTAAGGTACACGTACAACCGTTGCAAGTGGTCATTGCACGCGCTAGTTAAATGAACCGTATCAGCCAAAAGACATCTCTGTCACGACAATAGTTACTGCCACCACTGCGGTCAATGACGGCAGGACATAGAGGGTGGCCCTAAATCGCGCTTCCGAATGTCGGTCCTGAGCATTCCAACACTAGGTTCCAGATCCTGACATTGAACCATCTAATAATCAAATTGGTTGTTAACTCTGACTTTTGCGTTGATTCATGGTCCAAGGTCTGTTGTCTATCAGTTGCAGTTGGGATAAGGACAATTAGAATCGAAGACACCACGTTGCTTCTCCGCGAATTGCATGGATCAGGTATCAAGGCGTGGTAGCATGAGCGTTGACGCTAAACCGACCGCTTTCTGTCAACCCGTTGAACTAGTGTGTTGCCGGATATGATTCCTCATCTCTTCATGCCTGCAATTTGCTTTCCAGCTATCAAGCGCAGCCGGTAGTACCGATAGCAGACTCGTCCAAAGCTCCAACACCTCTGGATCCGTGCTGGTACAAGGAGACTGCGAGCTATGCCGAGCAGGTAGACCGGAGTTGACCGTGTCCAAGCTGTGTCGTAGCTGTGCCCTAGCCGCATTATTCCTTTGCGTAATTTGGGCTCACATATTACGAAGTAATTCCCTTTGAGAGGAATTCGCCCGCCGATATGGGACATGAGGCAAGTATACATCATAGGCTGGCATTGTAAGAGCTGCCTCTGTTCTATGAATACACGGGGGTGGTAGTACAACAACAAGATGAGAACATTGCCTGGCGATGCCATCATGAACGCCACACATTGAAAGAGATTTCTATCTCTTGACCCAGGCGGGCATCTTTCTGGCCTTGACATGACCATGCTTCTTTCTCTCAACTTGTCTAGGATCGCGGGTAATGCAGCCAGCTGTAGCGTTGAACTTGTCAGCAACAAACCGAAGATCATTCTCACCACGGGAGTTGACTTACCTTTTCTTAGTATCGGCTTAAGAGCTGGTTCGTGGACCAAGACAGCCTTGGCAATTGCCAACGTAAGAGCCTCGGCCTGTCCGGTCACACCGCCGCCTTCAACAAGTGCCCACACGTTGTACTTGTCTGTTCTCGCAGTGCTCCGGAGCGCCCAGATGGCGCTCTCACGATCATGAACTCTGCCGAATGCCTCGTTCAGGGGTTTGCCGTTGATCAACATCTCTCCAGTGCCCTCCACAACCCAAGCGCGGGCGCTCGACGTCTTCCTGCGGCCAACACCTAAAGCGCGTCCATATCTGTCGAGAGGCACAACCTTGGCCACATTCTTGTACGGGTCGATATCGCGTTTGAATTCCTGCAGGGCTTCTTTGACCTCGCTGGGCATCAGTCCGGGGTGGATCTGATGCAGCCGCTTAACCATGCTAAGAACTTGGCTAAAGGGCATCGCCTTGACTGGTTCTCCAGTGGTCTGTCGGTAACCCTTCAAGTTCCTCCATATTTGTCGTGGGACCAATTCCGGGGGCGCCAAAGGAAGGTGCTGGTATCTCTCCACGAGAGCAGAAAGTCGGATGTAGGCGTCGTTGAAGCGAGGCTCTCTGGAGAAGTAGGATGGCGAGACGGGTAGTGGACGAGCCTTCGTAATCCCGTCAAAAGGCCGCTGGGGAGGCAAATCCAGCCTTGTGTCGATTTTGGGTTCGCTGTTTTCAACTTGAGGATCGCTCGTAGTCGACAGGCTCTTGAAGCTCGATTGCAGGCTCGATCGTTGCCATTGAGGCTTCATCGACTGACCCTTTGCCAATTGGCGCAAGCAGAGCGTCTGCTGCAGGCCCTGGCGTAAGCTCGACATTGTTGCGGGACCTCGAGCAGCGCCCTCGTTGATGCGGTTGCTGTCGCGATATCGTGAAATGGAGACAGCCTTGAACGCCAATAGACAGAAATCTTTCCTAGCTTCGTAGCTGGGTTACGGCAGAACATCGGACGAAGATTTAGTCACGTGATGTGGCGTCAGCGCCACAGGCGCTTGGACCCTTTCTTGCCGCACTTTACCCCTCACAGACCGCAGCTGGTTGCCCTGGCGTTCGAGCTGCCATCAATCGAGCGAGGGGCTTTCGGGTGGCGGGGCACTGCGGTCGAAATTTCATTCAAAAAAATTACTGTCACCCTGGCGGGGAACCTGAACTTTTCTCTCTCCTCTCTCTTGTCCATCACATCACGCACCTTTTGATACCCTTCCATCCCTCTCGGTCAAACAACTGATTCAAGATGGCGTTCGGAAAGCTCTTCACCTACCCGGTAAGAAAAGGAACCCCAAATTACTCTTCAACTTCACGATGTCTAGGAATCTGATCGCTAACGAATATCGTCACCCCTCCAGGCTAACCCCCGCACCACGGCCATCCGTGCCGTCGCGAAGGCCAACAACGTCGACCTCGAGTTCATCGAGGCTGACCCTACCAAGCCCTCCGTTGAGCACCTCAAGGCCAACAAGCTCGGCAAGGTCCCCGCCTTCCTTGGCGAGGATGGCTACCCTCTCTCTGAGTGCATCGCCATTGCCATCTACAGTACGTTCTGAGTCATACTTTGCCGGTCTCGTTTTTCGAACACACAAAAACAACATCCCACGATTCGCAATATGATGATCAAGCTTTTTCAAATACAGTTATCCCTGTCTGAATTTCTTTGTTGACATAGTCTAAATTTCTGATCCTACCATTGGCACCGTCTACTCACTATTAGATATCGTTTGTGTAGCAAGAGCTAACGAGATGCCACAGTCACCTCCCAGAACGAGAAGACCACTCTCCTCGGCAAGACCAAGCAGGAGTAAGTGCACCGGAAGCGCATCTTTCTCTCGTTAAGCTCAGAAGTACGAGGCTAACAACTCTTCATCTAGCTACGCCTCCATTCTCAAGTGGATGTCCTTTGTGAACTCCGAGGTCCTCCCCCCCATGGGCGCCTGGTACCGCCCTCTCCTCGGCAAGGACCCCTACAACAAGAAGGCTGTTGAGGACTCCTCCAAGGTCGCCCTCAAGGCCATCAAGGTCATTGAGGAGCACCTCCTCAGCAACACCTACCTCGTTGGCGAGCGCATCACCCTCGCCGACCTCTTCGCCGCTGGCATCATTGCCCGTGGCTTCGAGTTCTTCTTCGACAAGGCGTGGCGCGCGGAGAACCCCAACGTCACCCGTTGGTACCAGACCATCATCAACCAGGACATCTGGACCGCCGTCACCGAGAAGCAGGAGTTCCTCGAGACCCCCAAGCTGACCAACGTCGCCCCCAAGAAGCCTGAGCAGCCCAAGAAGGAGGCTGCCCCCAAGCCTGCCCCCGCTCCCGCTGCTGAGGAGGCTCCCGCCGCCCCTAAGCCCAAGCACCCCCTTGCTGAGCTCCCCCGCGCCACCTTCGACCTTGAGGAGTGGAAGCGTCAGTACTCCAACATCAAGAACCACGATGAGGCCATGCAGTGGTTCTGGGACAACGTCAACCTCGAGGAGTTCTCTCTCTGGAAGGTGAAGTACAAGTACAACGACGAGCTCACCATGACCTTCATGTCCAACAACCTCATCGGCGGCTTCAACAACCGTCTTGAGGCTTCCCGCAAGTTCATCTTCGGATGCGCTGCCGTCTACGGCACCAACAACGACTCCGTCATCGAGGGCGCCTTCGTCATCCGTGGCCAGGACTACAAGCCCGCTTTCGATGTCGCTCCCGACTACGAGAGCTACGACTTCGAGAAGCTTGACGCTTCCGCACCCGAGACCAAGAAGTTCGTCTCTGACTCTTGGGGATGGGAGGCTCCCACTACCCACAACGGCAAGGAGTACCCCGTTGCCGACGGCAAGGTCTTCAAATAAGCGCATCGCTCAACGGAGTGATCCAAATTCATGGCTTATGGCAGAGATGAAATGAGTTTACGAATAGGCTAGGAGGGTGTGCAGATGATGTTATGGACCCGAAGAGGAATATCCTGTGCGTAATGCCCACGGCTGTGTGTCAAGTTACTAGGTCTGAGTCACTAGGACGAGGCAAAAGATGCAGGTTGTTCCTGATCAAAATCAAAAGAACACTTTTCAATTTCACTAATCTCCACGCGCATATTTTTGAATTGAATGTGATGCTTCCATAAGCTCATGCTAAGGGGTATCTCGATGCTACCAAGTCTTATCTCCGTATTCTGTGTCTTTCTTCCCAACCTCGCATATGTCCTGGTTCTGCCAAAGACTCTTTCTCCGTCAATTTTCTAGGCTGGGCCCTACACAAGACCTTCTTGCTGCTACTCTAGCCTGTATGCGTCGTTCAGCTGGAACGGGTTCGTGCGCATATACGCGCTGATATCCGACTGGTAACAGAGCTGGTTGAGGTAATCATGAACCTGCGGCACCACGTAGCCCGGTTCGCTGGCGTCGCCAAAGAACTCGGGGATCTGCAGCAGGTTGTACGGCTCGCTCCGCGCCTTCTCGAGGGAGTCATCCACGAGAACGGTGTTGGTCTGGTCCCACCGGCCGCCGTACGCGGCGTCTGGGTGTGCCGCCTGCACGTTGGCCTGGGCCCAGACCATCTCCAGGCGCTTGTAGACCTGCACGCGGAGCTTGAAGTCGGCCTCGGAGAGGCCGAACTTGTCGCGTCCCCAGACGGCCAGCACGCGGCGGCGGTACGAGGCTCGCTCTTCATGGGTGTCCGCGGCGCCGAGGCCGCCTTTGAGGAGGAGCTGGTCGCACATGGATTGGACGTTCTTCGGTTGGGCAGAGGACCAGACGACGACGTGGAAGGTGTCGAGGCAGTATTGCAGGAAGCGCTTTGCGTGGGGCCGCTCGACGAAGCTTGCGGCGTTGCGGCGGTTGGGTCGGAAGAGGAGGGTGCCGTTGAGGTCCATTACGACGAGGATCGGTCGAGGGGTCGGGACGAGGGTCGGCGGGATGGAGGCTTGCTGGAGGTATTGCGGCGTGGGGTTCGGAACGCCGCCTGAGGCGGCACTGGGGGCTATGATCTTATCACGGTTGTGCGGCGCCGCGGCTCTGTTGACAGAGATGGAATGTTAGTCTTTGCGACAGCATCGGAGGAGGGTAATGGACCACATAGAGACAGGATGGAACAGGGGGGGGAGACGAACGCTTTGCGAGGTCCCTTTGGAGTTATGGGTTGGTTTCCGGTGGAGGATTGCTCAGGAAGAGGAGTCGCGGAGGACGAGGCAAAGGGAACGTTCGCGGCGTTGCCGAGACCCGGTATCGTGAAGCCGTTACTGCTCGGCTGCTGGTTTGACGGGGCGGCCATGGCCGGGGCGGGCTTGGCCCACCATTGTAGGTCGGACATGCTTTTGTGTGGAGTGTAGACGAGCCTCGAATCGCGTGAGGGAGTCGTGGGAAAGGGAAGGTAAGGTTTGTTATTGTATTCGGAGAGTGTGTCTTTTGGAGGGCAGTCGCGGGGTGGGCGACCTGGACGCTTGCGCGCGACGGTTTTGTAGAAGCAACGTTGGTGGATCTGTTGCGATCTGGCGAGTATCCGGGGAACAGAGGGTTGCATGGATGGATGGACTAGGTAACGAAGTGGGAAGGGAAGTCAATTGAGCTGAATGTGAAATCAGATTGGTCTAGCTGCTTCCGTTGTAGTTAGGTGCAGGTCGAATATACTGTTCGGAGCGTATTCAGGGTCGTTTTTTGTCTTTGATGCGATTAGTGGAGAGGAAATTGTTCTTGCTGGGAAATCGCATTGAAAGGAATGATGGAAGTTTGTGAGGCAGATGTTATCGATAAGTTGCCGTTTCTTATCGATATGAGGTCGCTGGTCACTCTGACCCACTGAAAAGTTGCTTCGAGGTGTGGGCGAGCCTGGTTCATGTGAGTTCTGGCCCTTCACACTACGAGCATATCATTTAGTGCACCTTTCAGCTTCACAAAATCAACAAAAAATCGAGACAAAATGCTGTCTGGAAAGAGGAAGCAAGGGTTTTCAGGCCTTCAGCGCCGTGTGAGGCCTCGTAGAGAAGCAGAACCTGAAGTCGATGAGCAGACGAGCAGTGAGCCGGAGGAGATGAGAATGGATGGAGAAGAGTTGAGTGAAGACGAAGAGGATGAAGATATGGAAGAGGACGACGAAGAGGTATTTACTTCGAGCCGTAAAACTACTGCAATCGTTACTGACAGCTCAAAGTCCGATGCCTCACCACCGCCAAAGAAGTCCAACATCGACATTTCATCAGTGTCTTTTGGCGCCCTCGCAAAAGCCCAGGCCTCAATGCCGTCAGCCAAACGTCGCAAGCGCGGCGCATCACCTTCAGAAGACGAAGACTCAGACTCGGGTCCGGAAGAAGTCGGCAGGAAACCCAAGCATGGCGACCACGTCAAGCGCTCAAGCAAGCACGCCCCGATGGAGCAGTCAAGCAAGAAGCCCGTCTCCCGCCGTCGCGAAATCATCGCCGTGCCCAAGATGGAGGTGCGCGACCCCCGCTTCGACCCGATGAGCGGGCCCGTCGACGAGTCCAAGGCCCGGAGGGCGTACGCCTTCCTGGACGACTACCGCAAGGACGAGATGAAGCAGCTGCGGGCCGAGATCAAGAAGACCAAGGACGCGGACAAGAAGGAGGAGATGAAGAGGATGCTGCTGTCGATGGAGAGCAAGATGAAGGCGCGGGAGCGCAAGCAGCGCGCGGACGACGTCATTCAGGAGCACAAACGCAAGGAGAAGGAGCTCGTCAAGGAGGGCAAGCAGCCGTTCTACCTCAAGAAGTCGGAGCAGAAGAAGAGGTTCTTGATGGACCAGTTTGCGGGCATGAAGAAGAAACAGGTCGACCGTACAATTGAGCGGAAGAGGAAGAAGGTTGTTGGAAGGGAGCGGAAGGAGCTCGACAAGATGCAGAGGAGACCCAGGGAATGAGCAGACATTGTCAGCGTACTTTGATTCGAGTCATGAACCCCTTGAACGCATTGCGGAAGGTCCTTTGTTTTGTCTATAATCCTCCTGCATTGTGTGTCTACACATCGATCGTACAGTTATGATACAAAATGGTACAAAGTGGATTGGGGGTAGTTCTTCGTATGCCTCCCTTAAGCATTATATCCGTTCTTCTTCAGACTCTCCTCGAACATCTTGCGGCACCTGACTTTGCTGCCGAGCTTCGCGCAAAGCAAGAACGCACCGCTCAGCTTGCGATGCAGACTGTAAGTCTCCTCGGGTGGTGGCGCAAGTCTCTCACGGAGCATGACGGGGATAAGAGCCTTGACGCGCTCCGTGATGGTCTGGTCGTGGAAATCGTAGACTTCGGGTGCCGAGCCGAGGAAAGGCTCCGCCAGGGTGAGCACCGAGTTGACGTGGGCGTCCACCATGAGCTTGCTCTCGTGGCCTGTAAGATATCCGAGGCTCTCAGACAAACGCTTCACTTCGTCCCGGTCGGTCCTCGAGGCCGCGGCAAGGAGCTGAACGTATTGGGTAACAAATTCGTCGGGGTACTCCCGGGAAGCGCCAAAGTCGAGAAGCTCGAGCCGGTTTGTCTTGGCGTTGTAGAGGAAGTTTGTCCAGTTAGGGTCAGTCTGCATAAACTTGAACTCGGTGATCTCCCGGAGACAGAGACGGAGGATCTGGGTGCCGATCCAGTTCTTCTGCTCCTGAGTAAACGACTTGACTCTGGTGACGCCCACACCCTCCATCCAGTCCATGGTCAGAACATTCTTTCCGCAGGCTTGCAGATGAACGTCAGGCACAAGGAAAGTATCCGGTTCATCAGCCAAGAGCTCCTTGTAACGGATCAGGCACTGCGCCTCTCTCTCGTAATCGCATTCCCATCCCAGCTCGAGCCGCGCGTTGTCAATGGTTTTGTTCAGGTACAGGCCCTTAGGTAGGAGCTTGGTAGCGGTCAAGAGAATGCCCAGGTTGTCGAGGTCGGAGTTGATCGAGTCTGCGACTCCAGGGAACTGAATCTTAACCGCGACCTTGCGACCATCCTCCTTCAAGGTAGCCCGGTGAACTTGCCCGATGGACGCGGCAGCAATGGGCTTCTCCTCAAATTCCTCAAACAGCTCGCGCCATTCCGCACCCAGATTTGCCTTGAGGACCTTGTCTCTCTGCCAGGCCGGCATGTAGTCGGCACGATCCTGCACTCTCTGTAGAACCTCCTGAATCGGTCCCGGGAGCATCTTTGTGTCCTGGAAGCTCATCATCTGACCCATCTTCAGGGCAGCGCCGCGCATTCTCGACAGCTTTGCGACGAGCCTTTCCATGTTGCCGGCACTGAGCAATACTGAACCCTCACCACCACCGCCAAATGCTCTGCCAATGCTCTCGGTGATGGCACCACCCATCATTCCTGCTGCCAGACCGCCATAGTTCCAAAGTCTGCTTAGGCGCGTGGCAGGCACGCTGGATTCCCTGAGGGCGTATGCAGGCGGTGCTGTTTGGTCGATCGCAGCGCCCAAGATAGCTTCGACGGGAGGTTCATCCTTTGATACCGGGCCGGTAGCGGCATCGGCTGCAGATAGAGGCTCTGAAGGCATTGGTGAGTTTTCGCTTCTCAAAACTTTGCTCTCGCCAACTTCAGGTTGAGGGGCAATCTGAGAAGTGCTTGGAGCGACCTCAGGGGTAGCTGACTTCTTTGCCTCGGCATCCTTGGACAACTTGGAGAAATCGACAAACTCGGGGAGTTTCGTGGGTGGAAGCTTCCTGCGGTTACCGAAATCAACCTTTGTTGACTCTCCCTCTTTACCTAGCAATTTGGCGGCTCGGGTACTATGGAAGATGTTGACGTTGACACCTTGAGGGAGGTCGTCTGCCTCTTCAGAGACAGGAGCCCCGTACGGAGCCGCCGACCTGCTCACTGAAGACCCTGCAGGAACGGTGTTATCCTTGGGCCTTTGATCCAATGGTGATACGCCTGGGAAAGGGAAAGCTGAAGGATTGGATTGCCTCAGTTCAGAGAGGACTGACCCTGAGCTTGGTGAGATACGGGCTGCATTGTTGAGATTGGGCTGGAAGCTGCTTGATGTTGTGAGCGAGGGATTACTGGGTTGAGGTGTCGATTCCTTCATTGACGGCGGCGTCTCTTTCTCAGTTGTCGGCTGAGCTCCTGGGATATCGGAGGAGGCCGCAGCTTCTGTTGCGACGTCATCTCGTGTGTGCTGAGGTGCCGTGGGGGATTTGCGTGTTAAGCTGGAGGCTTTAGTGAAGCTCTCAAGCTGTCGGCCTCTCAGTGCAACATGTCTGGATGCGACTGAGCGCGAAGCTCCGAGGACAGCTGCCAAATCGACAGCAAAATCGGCGAACCTCATCGGGGAAAAAGTATGTTCAATTATGCTACACGCATGTCTTTGTGATAGTCCTTTGACATCCAGGTGGCCTCGCGGCTTTCAGGAAATGCTGGGATTATCAAATGGTCCTCGTCATGGTGGGAAAATTGAGTGACGGGTTTATGTATCTAAAGAGAATAACAGAAGATAGCTCTGGGTAGCTTGAGGTCGTACCATGCATATAACGGGGACATCTATCAAAGCATATTTGTCCAGCTACCATACATTTCCAAATAGGCCAATGATTCGACGACGACACTACTTACTTACTTTTGCACGCAAAACTGGTCAGTGTCTCAATGTACATGCTCGTCGTTCAAATATAAGATGATTGGCCTTCTATTTGTGCTCCTTGTCAGCTGTCCTGCAGTGGTATCTCTAGTCTATCCCTGGTTCCTCGTCATGGTCATTATTCGTATAATCATTTTGGTGTTGAATCCCTTGTCGCCGAGGCGCCGCCCTTCAAAAGCGAGCCTCTTGCCCGCATGGGTGTCGCCTTCAGAGATGAAGTATGCGGACTACCTGGCCTTGGGCTGCCGATCTTCCCCCACAACCTTTGGGCAGCAGGCGTCAGACCGCCCGAGACCCGCGGACTGGATGGGAACCTGGGCACTGGTGTTCTGTCCAACTTTCCAGTCAACCCGTTTTTCACAGACTCTCTTTTGGAATGCGCTGACCGCTCAACTAGACGGTGATGCAAAGTCTCTCGCTTCCTGTGCTCTTGCAGCTTGAATGGATTTGGCGTAGCGTCACCAGGACCGAGGTTGATTACGGGCGCAGGGAGAACTTGGTCGTCGTCGTCTTCGTCATCTACAAAGGCGTACCCATTTACTCTCGGTGTCTCTCCACCCCCTACAGCGCTCGAAGCCAGATCTTCTTTACGGGGTTTGCCAGCGATCGCGTCTCTCACAGCAGAAAGCGTCGGGGACGGAGGTCTCTCTACGATTGCTGGCTGCGGTACCCTCGTGTTCTGATAATTGATCGATTTAGGCGGCATCATCGATTGGGCCTGCGCCTTCTGAGCTGGGCTCTCGTAGTCGTCGTCCACACCATCCGGGCCGAACATCAAATTGTTCTTGGGATTGGCGTTCCAACTGTCCGGTCTCGCTGGCCTGTCATCCACGTCCTTGATTGCCAGTCTGTCCCTTTTCCACCCATCGTCCACCAGACTCCTTGTCTCCAGCAATTTGGCTTCGACTTCCGCCTGTTTGATCATCTGTTTTGAAGGCAGCTTGTTCCCTCGCCAGATCCACTCGTATTTCTCTGCCTTCTTCTGATTCTGTTTATCCATGAGCTTGTAAAAGCTCTCATTGTCCTCGCTGGTGTAAGTGGCCTGGAAATTGGCCAGGCTCATATTGGTGTCCACGGCTGGTTTTGGCGCTTCGGATACCGTCGATGCCACTGATGCCGGCGTATCTGCGCCATATGCGGATGGTGTTCGTCCAGCGCTGTTAAAAGGCATGGGCCTTTTGACCCTATTCCTTCCCGGCGTCATCACACGCTCCAGCCTCTGGCCAGCATTGGAAATCCATGCCTTGTCTTTTGATTCGAGAGCGTCGAGGTACTCTTGCTGTGTCTCGGCCTCGAGGAGTCCGGGGAAGAAGTCACGCGCAATGATCTGCGATAAGGCGTCGGTGTAGGTATCTTCATCTATGACCTTTTTCGGGCGTTTGATTTTCTTCGCGGCAGGCGGTGGTGGCATCAGTTCGAGGTCGGTCCGCTTGCGCACAAGCGCGGTTGATGTACGTTCTTGAGGCTCCATCATTGACAGACTGGGGCCGATCACGTTGAAAAGTCTGCGTTGAAAGGAATGTAGGCACACGAGGAGCGCGCCGCCAGCGCCATGCGTTGGGTAGATGTCGCGTGAGGAGTTTGATGTCGGATCGATGCGCTGAGGCCAATCTGAAAGTCTGAGTTGCGCCCAAGTTCGGGTCCGAGTGGCATGGGGCGGCTCCGATAAGCGATAAGGTTAGACTCGCCAAAAAGTAATTATGCAACTACCAGGTATCAAGGCTACGGGTACCTCAGGCTTCCCTGTCGAAGGGGTCCTGCACTACGTACATCATGCCTGGAGGTGTAAGTCGTCCGTACTCCGCTAAAGTACACCTTCCCAGGCATCCGTAGTGACCGATGGAAGCTCATTCCTCGCGGGAGTAGAGGGAGGGGCCAGACCACGGCGCCGCCCTTTCAGCGCCCCTGTCGGACTCCTGAAGTGGCAACCCAGTGCCACCCCGCTGCAACTGTATCGCACCGTGCGGTAGCAGCGCACTGTTTCCTGTTAGCTCCGAATACTGAAGAGGGTTTAAGGGCCGAACCGTCGCAAAAGGAAGCTTTCGAATCCGACCCAAGCCCGGCAACTTCAACCTTCGAAGAGCTTCTGCTGCATAGCAAATTTTGCTACAACCACCTCTTCTTTCCCGCCCCCAATTTTGCGATTCGGCTGGGGAAATCACACTCGAAATTCACGCCCACGGAAACGTCAACTGAATTTCCCACTGTTTCGTGTGCGAACGCCAGCTGGAGAAACCCCTCCATCGTCTCTCACCTGCGATACGGATACCCCACACTTTGGTTCTGCAGTAGAGTACCGTTGCCGCCGCCATGTCTACGCCAGAGGAAAAGGCGACAGCCTTCAAGAATCAAGGCAACAAGGCCTTTGCTTCTCACGATTGGCCCGCTGCTATCGAGTTCTACACCAAGGCCATTGAGCTCAACGACAAAGAGCCAACGTTTTTCACCAACCGCGCCCAGGTTCGTTGCCCCCTCGCTGCGCCCAGGCTGCGAAGTCAAGCTGCTCGCGTGACTAATACAATCTTGACTACGAGTAGGCAAATATCAAGTCTGAAGCATTCGGCTATGCTATTGCGGATTGTTCGAAGGCGATCGAGCTCAACCCCAACTTCGTTAAGGTGGGCAATCCCGGACACAGCCAACGATCCTGGTTTGCTGACGTCGGTACGACTTTAGGCATACTTCCGCCGAGGCCTTGCCCAAACCGCCATTATCAGACCAAAGGACGCTCTCGGCGACTTCAAGAAGTGTATAGCACTCGACCCAAATAACAAGGATGCTAAGTTGAAGCTGGACGAATGCAGAAAGATTGTTCGCAAGTTGGACTTCTTCGCCGCCATCGAGGTTGGTGACGAGCCGTCAGCTGCGGAAGGCCTTGATCTTAGCACCATCAGTGTTGAGGATGACTACGATGGCGTCAGATTAGGAGAGGAGATGACGCAAGAGTTCATTGACGACATGACGGAGCGTTTCAAGAACGGCAAGAAGATCCACAGGAAATATGTCTACCAAATCATCCTGGCCGTCAAGAAGCTTGTCTATGACGAGCCGACTATGGTGGAGATGAAGATCCCCGAGGGCACACAACTCACAGTTTGCGGTGACACACACGGTATGTTTCTGTGCATCTCATTTGGTACCAAAATACTTACTTGTAGCCAGGCCAATACTTTGATCTCATGGAGCTTTTCCGTCTCAACGGAACGCCCAACGACAAGCACTTCTACCTCTTTAACGGTGACTTTGTCGACCGTGGATCATGGTCTTGCGAAATCGCTCTTCTGCTCTACGCATACAAGTGGCTTCGACCTAACGCTTTCTTCCTGAACCGTGGTAACCACGAGACCGATGACATGAACCGTGTGTACGGTTTCGAGGGCGAGTGCAAGGCGAAGTACAACGAGAGAATATTCAAGCTCTTCTCAGAGAGTTTCTCTGCTTTGCCCCTGGCAACTCTGATCGGCACCAAGTACCTTGTGCTGCACGGTGGTCTGTTCTCAGACGACAAGGTCACTTTGGACGACATCCGAAAGCTCGACAGACACGCCCAGCGCCAGCCTGGCCAGGCGGGTCTCATGATGGAAATGCTGTGGACGGACCCCCAAGAGGAGCCCGGCCGTGGCCCGAGCAAGCGCGGTGTTGGCATGCAGTTCGGCCCCGATATCACCAAGAGATTCTGCGAGAACAACGGTCTCGAGGCCGTCATTCGCAGTCACGAAGTTCGCATGGATGGCTACGAGGTGCAGCACGACGGCCGTTGCATTACTGGTAAGTTTCTGTGCTCTCCCATGACCGTCCTTGACCTGGAATTGACTGTCGTAGTGTTCTCCGCGCCAAGATACTGCGACTCCACCGAGAACAGGGGAGCGTACATCAATGTAGGCCCCGATTACAAGCTCGACTTCAAGCAGTTCGACGCCGTTCCTCACCCGGATATCAAGCCTATGGTAAGACATATCCCTTCCTCCTTTTTTTCTTCTGCCGCTGACCTTCCACTTTCAAGGCGTATGCCCAGAGTTCTCTCATGTCTTCTCTGATGTAGTTTGATGATATGCGGACGGCCGTCCCTAGGGTATGAAAAGGTATAGTTTGCATCCGCAGCATACATGGTGCATGTGATTGGCGCATATAAGGGGCTGGGTGGCAGCGTGGGTTTGGCCATGCGGATAAATCGGAGTTCTTGCCCTGCGGGCGCACACCATAACCCCGAATCTAGAATAATACGACGGTTGGGTGTTTGGCCAAAAGAAAGACCAGTTCTTATTCTTGTTCTCCGTAGCTCTACCGAGGTGTAGGTTCATGACGACCAAAGCTTGTCCTGGCCATCGGTGCCGACGATAGCGCCCAAGTAGTCAGAGCACTGCTTCACCCGGAGAACTCGCCGGCTTCCCTGGTCCGAGACACCTGCCCACGCCGTGATCGCGGCGGCGAAGGGGCTAAGATCCTGCCGGGGCACGCGCAGCCAGCACTGTGCGCCCTCGACTTTGAGTATATCGATGGGAATGGCGGAGCCTGTTGCGCCCAGGAACTGGGCGAGAGCAGCATTGCAATACGAGCGTACTTGAAGATTGTCCAGTTCCAATGCCTCTTGTGTTGTCGGAGACTCGGAGATGAGTTCCAAATGAGTGTAGGAGAAGATCGGGGCCTTGATAGTGCATGTGAGAAGCTCGTGAGATTTCTGGCCCGTTGCGCGCCACGTGCTGGCGGGTGCGTCGCCAGCTGATGAGTTTTCCGTCGTCATATTGGCTGTTTTCTCTCTGGTCGATTACTGAGGTCTTTCTCGACGCTTCTCTCACAGAATATGGGCTCTGTGAGTTCCTTAGATTGAAGAGATGTGTGACAGGCGGCAGGAGAGAATTTCAATGAGAGAGAAGAATAGCATGTAATGTGATTCGAGCAGGGAATCGAAGAAGCTCTGGAGGTGGGTCTGCGCCAAAATCAATCATTATCCATGTACTTGTATATATGCATACACCGGATAGGTTACTTTGAGTCTGGGCCATCAATGGAAAACACCGATGCCTTTCACTCGGGTGCCCCACATTTGACTTCCAGCTGCTTGAGGAACTCCCAGCCAGAGCCTCTCTTCCGCCAGTAACACCATTAATGAAGCTCTAGCTTTTGCGACTTTCACCCTCACCCTTGCGATACGCTTCTCAACCGCCCGCCCCATCCTTCTCGAACACCGAAGACAGAATCTCCGATCGGAAAGATAATCTCAAAAGGATGTCGGCTGATAACTTCGTCGCGCCCGGTCAGCAGCGCTACCTCCGCGCCTGCATGGTCTGCTCAATCGTCATGACCTACTCTGTACGTCCCCAGTCGACTTTTCCTACAACACTATCCGGATGAAAGGCCTCGGTGGGAATGATCCACTGCACGGAATCAACAAGACTGACATTGTCCCTCGAACTAGCGCTTCCGCGACGAAGGCTGCCCCAACTGCGAAGACTTCCTCCACATGGCCGGCTCCCAGGACCAGATCGAGAGCTGCACGTCCCAGGTCTTCGAGGGCCTCATTACCCTCTCAAACCCGAAGCGCTCCTGGGTGGCAAAGTGGCAGCGCCTGGACAACTACGTGAGGGGCGTCTACGCGATCAAGGTCTCGGGCCAGCTGCCCGACGAGATTCGCAACACGCTCGAGGAGGAGTACAGGATACACTATATTCCGTCAGTAACGCCCTCTCTCTATCTATCTCTTTCGATGTTACGTCTCTTCTTTGGCGTGGATTCCGGGAAAAGAGTGGATGTCTAGCTTTGGGTACATTTTTGACTGACTTTGGTAACAGGCGCGACGGAACGGAGACGGAGGTTGATGCTTGAGATTGGCTACAAGTTTTTGAACAATGTGCTTCTTTACATACAAGGCGTTTTACGGGGAGTCAAAGAAGGTCGGCAAGGAGTCAGGGAAGACTCTATTCAGATGAATCAATTCTCAAAATGGTATCTAAAAGTGCAACCCGAGTTTTGCCCATGGAAGTTTTTGAGCCTCCTTTTTCGTTACAATGTGATGCTGCCCCTGCTTTAAACCCAAACGCCTGTCGATGGACGCGAAATCGATCCCTGATTCACAGTTGGACTCACCGCTGATCCGTCTTTTGCTTCTTGAACGCAAACCCGCCAAAACCAGACCCGGATCCGTCTCGTGATCGTTTCCCCTTCTGCCTCTCCATGTCCTCTTTCATGATCCTTTCCGCCTCACTCATCTTCTTCGGTTGCTCAAAGGCAGACTTCTTCGCGCCGCCCACCAGCGCGTTCTTCTTCGCCTGCGCAAACACGTTCTTGGTCTGAGGTTTCGCCGTCATCTTGAGCGATAGACCGCCTCCGAGAGACGGCTTCTCGACAGGCTTGTCCTCTGTCTTCTCGGACGCCACTGTATTCGTCGCTGTAGTCGAGACCTCAGGGTCGGCGGACTTGGACTGCGCTCCCGTTGGGCTGGGCTCCTTCTTCGCCGCCGCAGGCTTGGCGCCGAACGACAACGACACCTTCTCTCCTTCCGTCCTCTGCAGCCCCCTCTCCCGCCCTTCTTCGTCATCTGGCTTCTCACCCCTCGCCTCGGCTGCCTTCTGCGCCCTCTTGATCTGCTCACGAATCATCATCTGCTCCACCTCCTCGTTGCCCCGATCCTGGGCCTCTTTCCTCCTCAACGCCTCTTGCCTCTTGAGCGCCTCTGGCGAGTTATCGATCCACGCAATGTGAATACCCTTCTCGTTCTCCTCGACGCGGCAGATGCCTTCCCGCCCCAGGTGCTTCGCAAATTCGGTCAAGCTGGGCCACTTTGTCGCGTTCATGTGCACGTGCTCCTTGTTGGCTATGTACTCCTGGTAAAAGTGATTGATCTGCACCTGCTTCTCGCCGTGCCCCGTGCGCAGCAGCTGCGTGAAGTCGCGGAGGAACTGGTTGCTGTACTCGTTGAGGAACTTTTTCGGGTCCTCGCCCACGACGAGCATCTGCCGCACGTGCGACTCGGACTGCGTGTGCATCTTGAAGCCGTTCTCGTCGCGGCACTGCTTCTCGCAGACCTGGCAGTACCAGCGCAGCCGCTGGAGGCCTTTGCTCTTGAGCTTGTTGCTCAGGTGCTTTGTCGAGCCGACTTCTGCTTTCGGCATCTTGGGCGTTCTTTTTTCGGGGCGTTCTTTGGTGGACGGTTTCTGATATGGAAGAGGGGGTTGTTTTCGAGGTACGATGGTAGGATCTATATGTCGTGGGCAGGGTTCCGATAAGTGGCGCGTGTGGGATTCGAGGTTGGATGCAGTTATGTTGACAGGAGAAGATCGTCGCAAAGCAACCTTGAACGAGCCCTTCCAGGGTCGGCTGTGGATCCTTCTGGTGCTGCTTATCTTATCGGAATTGACAAGGGTCGCCCAGCTCATGAAAGAAGTGGCGGGGCAGAGCCGTGTGCGACAGCTATCTGAGCACTGTATTCCACTTCGCCGACCTCGGCCTAATGGGTAAATATTTACGTTCGTCTGGTTACTGGGGTGGTTCTTGATTGCCGGCTATTGCAATATTGACAACTTCTTGTCAGGTAATTCTCATGTTCTCAACTCCATTAGTTGATGGTGTGTCGATATGATTGATTGCCTCTGGACCTGATCCGCGATCTACTCTACCAACGCCTAGAATTTTGATGCCAAAGCTGACCTAATCATGTGCATTTGATATATACCTCTAGATAAATCAAGGGAATCTTGTCTTTTCCAACCCAGACTCTTCGTTCTTTCTTCTTTTCTGATCCAACAATGCGAATTCATGCTCCATTTTTAGATGACCCGACCCATGGGAAAACTTATATACTTCAATCCAAAAAGGTAGAGCTCGCTCCCACCGCGCGCAGTTGAAGCGCGCGGGGCAGTTCGAGATGAAAGCCCTAGTCAAGGAAAGTGAATAGATTTGTGTGCAAGATGTTCATGGCACGAGTAGCGTCGCGGGCGTCAATGACGCAGGAAATATTGATCTCGCTGGCACCTGTGTCGAAAAGTTAGCAAGCGTCTTCTCTCGCAACCCCCCCGAGATGGCTTACCCTGTGAGATCATCTCCAAGTTGACGTTGTGCTCGCCTAGCGTGGAGAACATGCGACCGGCGATACCAATCATATTCTTCATCTCCGCACCAACCAGACTCAGGATGGCCATGTCATGGAGCACGCTGACGTCGCCACATTCCTCCAGCTCAAGCCGCGCCTTGTCGAAGCTGCCACCCTCTGAATTTCCGGCGTGGATGGCCATGGACACGTGAACTTCACTCGTGGAGATGAGATCGACAGAGATCTGGTTGCTGTCGAGGATAGAAAAGACCTTTGCGAAGAAGCCGTGGGAGATGGACCGCTTGTTGGAGTGCACGTTGATGACGGAGATCTTGTCCTTGATCGTGACAGCCGTGGGCCTCTTTGGCTTTTGGACCAGGGACGGGTCTGCGGGTGCTGACCGTTGGATCTGGTGGCCGGCCGTGAGGATGGGGTCGGGCACGACGATGGTGCCGACTCCCCTTGGGTTCTTGACGTTCTTGATACGGATGGGAATAGGGGGCGAGGCGTGAATAACCTGATCCATGGTCAAGTGATGGATGACCTCGGAACCGTAGAACGTCAACTCGGCTGCCTCAGATGGTGTGATGGAGTGCAACAGGCGGGCCGTAGGAACCTTGGTCGGGTCTGCTGTGAAGATTCCATCAACCTCCTTCCACACCTGGAGCTCATCCGCCTTCAGACCGACTGAGCACAGCGCCGCGCAGAGATCCGTGTAGCCTCGTCCAATGTCACCATCGATCAGGCTTCCGGGAACGTTGCCAAAGAAGCCAGTGACCACGGGGACTCGGTCCTCGCAAGCCGTGATCTTTTTCCTCAGTACCGCTGCGGCCTCCTGGTAGAAGCCCTGGCTCAGACGAGCCGTGGCATCATGGTGGAACGCGTCACTGAGATCCACATATTCCGCGGCGACGCCCTGCGAGTCTGATTAGCGGCATTTTCAAGACAGTGGACAGCCATGTCCATTCCGTACCAAGTCCTTCAGCAATGCGGCCATGAACCGGCAGCTGAGTTTTTCACCAAAGCTGATGCATCGATCCTTTGATCTTGAGTTGACCTCGAGATTAAATCTCCTGGCTGCGACGATGTACTCGACCAGCTCTTGGCACTCGTCGCGGATCTCCTGTTCCAAGGAGGCCTGTAATTCTGGGTTGCGCAGGAAAGTCTTAACTGCCGATACGTGGTCCTTGCAAATGTCATCAATAAGACCCTTGGCCTCGTTCATGAGCTCATTCTGTGTCTCTTCGGGCGTCGTGGGCGCCGCAATGCCCTTGAGCTTGTTAAACACGCCAAGCAGTCTTTGGCGGAGGGTGTCAGTTGAGAATGAAGGCTGGGTTGCGTTTCTGAGTGACTCACCGGCTGGTGGTGCCCTCAATCTTCTTGCCCGTGCTTCTTGCCGAGCAGACGACGACGACCTTGTTGTGGGAAAGGCTTGCTCTAAAACACGAATGTGTCAGTCAGGTCACGATCCTACTTGAGAATTGTGTGTTTCGTACCGGACAATATCCGTGGCGATCTGGCGTGTGAGTATACTGGATCAGCCTCATGCAGCAATCGCGCCTCTTTCAGTGGAGAGTAACAAACCTTGTCTGGAAACTTTCCAACACTGGTTCCGCCGAACTTCTGCACCACCCAGCCATTGCTGGAGGTGTTCCCTATCGTTTGACTACTCATGATGTATCAATGGCTACGCGCAGAGCCTAAAGTGGTTGGTTTGGGGGTATGAGTGCTTAAGCCGGGCCAAGAAGGAGGGGCACTGTGAGCGACGGGGGAATGGGAGGGAGAGAGGGAAAAAAATAAAGAAAGAATGGCGACGGTTAGGCTGGGACGTCAACCCTCTCAAACTGAGTGTCTTATGCGAGATGCGTCACACAGCAAGGCGTTCAGCAAAAAGAGAAAGTGGTATGACAGGTGCAGGGAGTTTACAGAGTGGGAAGAGAGAGTCCACGGCTCGAATGCGGTGGAATTGCTATGTTCAAGGTGGTTTATGTTGCGGTGGATTAAACCAAGGCGATGGGGATGGGACGAAAGTGGGATGTGGTGGAGCGACGAAATCGGCGACGCTTGTGCAAGTTGCAGCGTCCAAATTTTTGCGTTTCCGGAATATCGGAGGCGGGCCCGAATCTCTCACACTATTCGTGCCTACCTACACAGAGAGACCTTACAGATACACTGCTGCAAGGTCACCAAACAATGACAGCCGTACATTGGTCAGTTTACTATCTGTCTTGACGTACAAGCCTCAGCAGTGCCGTTCCTTGGTCAAAAGGTAATAATGAATGGGCCTCGAGTTTTGAAATCCCGGGTAATCCTCCAACGCATACCTGCCACGCCGCTGCCGTTGCTGTTACCTGCCTATCTGTACGGTCTCTGCCGATAAATCCCCTGGCTTGACCTGGCTTCTGCAAAGACCTGTACGACCGAGGGCTCTGAATTGGGCAGTGTGTCCCGCGGCAGCCTCTATCCGTGACAATTTCTTTGTCTGAGTCATACGCAGTATCGGTGCTTCACTAGCCCCTCTGAAGAAGGTAATTTGACACCGATGGCAAACCTGTCCGTCTCTTCAATATCCCGGAAACTCTAGATAATAGAGACCATTTAGTAATCACCCATGAACCCCACGGGGGTCACTCGCTGTGTGCGTCCGCTCTGGTGGTCTCTTCAAGCCTCTGCGTTGTCGCTGCCGTCTCCCGTCCAGCCACTCCACAAATGCGGTCTCGTAAGGAGCCTATGAAACCTCTCTCGAAGAAAACCTTTAGGTGCCGAATCCTGGCGACCGCGCGGGGATGGCGAATCAGAGACCGGCCGATGATGAAGTGACAGACGGGGATCCCACGCCCCCAGTGAAATAGCCGCATTTGACGCAACTCTGCATGCCACTGATCTGTTGCCGCCGCAACTCATGACAACCCAGTTTTGCTCAACAACACCTGGAGCCTTTCAGGGCCTTGGGCAGTCTTATCAGACAGTGAGCAAAGGCAATGTGAAAATGCCCTGCCAAGTCTTGCGTGCATGCATCTGTAACTCATCAAAAAAGGGTCATGCATTGTCTGCTCAAAGCTCTCCCAGTATGGGTCGTATTACCACTAAATAAACGTATAAATGCAAAAGTACCGTTGCTTTGCCCAGAACCAGAGACAATTGGTATAGCAAACCCACGAGAACCAGAACCAAATGCAAATGCCGACCTCGATCGCCACGCACGTCAAACACCGACCGCAAAAAAAACAAATCCCAAACCCCGTCTAGAAATGAACAGGCGCAGTTCCCAGTGACTTGTCCTCACCAAATGGTCAAGACTTTTTCCGCGCTCATACAATCGTGCAGTCGTGCCATCGTCATCGCACTGTTGTCGACAGTCCTCTTCTGGCATCAAGCCTCTACAAGAGACTGTCTGACAGGCGGGTATCGATACATGACACCTGGTTGGCCAGGTGCGACTAGAATCTGATCTCCATTCGTCATTGTTGCAACTCAGCGTTGGCAAGCAACGCTTGATTGACCTCCGAGTGCGAGAAGGTGTATTTATCCATCGGGAAGTCCTCCTCCGGTGTCCGGATGCCGATCCCGCTGTCGTCCGGGTTGTTTCCCGCCGACATATCCGCAGAGTCGACCTGGCCCTGGCTTGTTGATGGTGGGAATGGCGCCTTGTCTGGTTGTGCCTGAGGAAGACTCGAGAAATTGAAATCCTCGCTACCCGCGCTGAACCGAGATCCTTGGCGGTTCGACTCTTGGGCTGCCGATTGAGGGTTGGCCATGGCTGCTGACGCGCCCGACGTCTTCATTTGAAGAAAACCACCCTGCTCGGCAAGGAAGCAAGTCATCTCGTCGATCCAGCACTTCGTCACCCACCACGAGCCGAAACTCTTGCCTTGAGCCATGGTAAGATCCCGCATCACAGCTGTGCCCACTCTTTGCACGGCGTAGACAATCTCAGTGTGAGACGCATAAGGGAACCGTATCGGAAGGGACTTGAGGAACCCAACCCATCGCTCCAAAACATTTTGTCCGTTAGGATCGCCTGCGCTCTCGGCGCCGGGCTGGCGACCGTTTCTCAAGGCAATGTCGCCATAGACCGTCAAGCACTCCACCTCCCAAGGGACGTTCATGGGGCTAAGGAGATCCCGCAGTTCGGTGACGAGCAAGTTGACGAGGTCATCCATACCACGTGTGGGAACACACTCCGCCACCTTGCGCACACGCACCATCGTAATCCAGTCGAGATACATCTGATCGCGGTTGGCCGGGTTGGACAGCATGTTGGCTGCTGCGTGAGCAGTAAGGTTGACCCGCAGAGCTCGGTCCAGAAGAGCTGCAAAGATAGTTGCCGGTGCCTCCTTGGCTCGGATGACGTGGTGCGGCTGTCCCTGGAAAGCCTCTCGAATGTGAGGTACGAGGCGCTCGGAAATGCCGCGTAACGTATCCAGTACTGGCTTGGGCACGACCTGGAGCGTGAGCCCCGAGATGATTCTAAGCATGCGTTGGTACAGAATAAAGTCACATTCCTCAATCCAAGGGGCGAGGCTCGGGTGACCGAGGAGCTTTTGAACGGGCATCGTCAACGTGCCCTGGAATGACGTATAAAGGTGGAAGAACGTCTTCTCCTTGCAGTAGCGAACACACTCCACAAGGGAAGTGCAATGCGATCTATACAGGGCAGACAAGCTTTTGGCAGCATCTGGGTCAGTTCCACTGGGGAGGAAAGGCTCCATCCGGGGTAGCGCGAGAGGTTCGTTAGATTGAAGAAGCAGCTCATCCGCTTCCGAGGGGAACGAGAACTGTAATGAGGTCTTCGATGCCGATGAGTTCAGATGATCCGCGCTGGTCACATTTGGATGGCTATAGAAGCTATGTGACCTCGAGGTGTGATGCGTCGCTTGAGCTGGGCTCTCTGGCCGTTTCGCAGCGTCGGGTGATGGCAAGACGGCAGCGGCAGGCTGGGCCTTGACGGGTGCCGCGCTGAAGCTTTGAGAACGGGGGGGTTCGGAGATAGCCAGAGGAATGTGAGGCTCGGGTTCGCGGAGGTCAGGCTGGTCGTCAACCAAGCAGAAGTTGACGTAGTGGTACTTTGATTCTCCTCTCACGCCAAGTCGCCTCGTCTTCAGACCTGGGAAGAGTACACGGACAAGCTTTCCGAAACTAGCTGGGTTGAGGACTGTAATTCTCTCGGTGGCACAGCGAGACGCGTAGTTGGCATATACGCGTCCTCGAGGCACAGATCCCTTTCCCTTGGTGCATACAGAGTTGATCCAAAGCATGGCAAAGACTTGTCGGGTGCGTTCGGAGTTGGGGCCTCGCTCATTGCCGTGCAGTTCGCCGGCAACATCTTGAAGGCCGCGGTGCTTGTTAGCATTGAAAAGGTGACGCATCTCCAGCTCGTTGTTAGCACTGGATCTGGCGGAACTAGATTTCTGCATGCCCATAGCTCCAACCAAAGAATCGCCGTCCTCATCACGATCTATCATTTGGCTGTCGTCGGTGAAGCTGTTATTGGCAAAACTTTCGGAAGGCAAAGGGTGTCTTTGCATGGGATGTTGCTGAAAAGACATTGAGTGGCCCATGTGAGCACTGGACTGGCTCATGGAGGCATTCATTCCGGGCGGCATCGAGTATTCGCGGGCGTTCTGCATCTGGGTAGCAGCTGCATGAAGCATCATCTCCTCTGGTGTGATCCGCGACGCGGGAGCGAGGCTTCTCTGCTGTCTTTGGTCGTTGTTGACCCATTGTGCCGAGTACAGTTCAGGCGCGTCGGCAAACTGTTGTTGCTCCATAGTAGGCTGCGTTGAGATGCTGTGAACCGAAGCAGTCGAGGCCCGAGACTGAGGTCTCTTCTTCGCCCTGAGGGCCTGGGAGAGGTGGTCTGTTTATATCAGACCGTCAGTCAAGAACCACAGGGGAAAGAAATGCTCTTGTTGCAGTGAAGCAAGCCTGGCGAGGCTATAGATCGTACCGTGCTCCATTGGTCGTTGTCTGTCAGCTCGGTGAGGATGTGATGTTGTTGTTTTGCGATGAAAACACACGGATCATGCAGGACGCCGTTTCCAAACAATGAAGAAGTCAACGTGCGCCGAGCAAGGACAAATGGGTGAGGAAAGAAGAAGAAGCGTCGAGGTCGTGAGAGTAATCCAGAATCCCTGCAGCCTTGAAGAGCGCGGTGCGCCGTGGTGAGCGTCGAGATCTTAAAGGACGTGGTCGGGGGAGAGCAGGACCAGGAGCAGAGTGTGGATGTGGGAAATGTTTTGGGAGGCTTTCCACTGTTTTGTTGACTTGACAACCAAGGCTCGGCTGGTCACCTCCACTCAGGTCTTGGAACAACGGATTGGCGTGGCTGGGCGACTCACGTGATGAAAAAGGCCAGTCATTGCAGCGTGTGGTTGCATCCTTCCATGGCCGCGGATTGGATAGTTCCCAAACAACCTGGAGCAGCCAGTCCCGTAACAGCTTGGTCGTGTTTGTGTTTTCCAATTGGCCAGTGCGCCCATGAGTCTGTGATGTGGGGTCTGCTTACTTTGTCTGTTTCTGGCTATTTGGCTCTGGCGTCGGTACGTATACACGCTACTGTGTTCCAAACACGCGGAGAAGCCACATTCAGATCTGTCCACTCAGCTTCAAAGAGCAACAATACTCCCGTCCGTACGTAGGTACCTTACTCCTCTCTCTCAAGGTGTACTGTGCCTTGGACGTTAGGCATCAACACAAAAAATCACAACAGCAATGCACCTCAGCCAAAAACATCCGGGTCCGAGTCTTCCCCACCTTCGCTAAGGCAAGGGAGCTCGGGTGCTCTTATCTTATCTCACCGTACGGTAGGTTAGGTACCTAGGTGCGGACAGGCGGTGGCATCCCATATGTAAATACCCACCATACCCTGCCGTGCCCGCCAACAAAACACTCGCTGGCTGAAGACTCAAGACCGAAATCTGCGAAATCTGACACCATCCGAGCCATGGCCACACAAAGTACCCGCTAACACGAAGGACATGGATCCCAGGGCAAAGTTGCCCGGCACACAAAGTCGGTTGCAACTGGGAGCTACAACCAGCTACGCCGTGCTCACTTCGTCTCGTGCTTGTGCCCCTCTCCAAACCCCCATTAGCCCCGACTGAAGCTCGACGCAAAGGCACCCAGACCATTCCTACTGGCCAGATCTGCACACGTTACGTCGTCATCCGTCCTTTTCCCTTTCACCTGCTAATTCCAACACAGACACAAGGTCACTCAACCCCATATTCTCAGTAATTTTGTCAAGAACCTTACATTCTGACATCGTCAACAGCATCTTGCGGACTTTTACAAGCTACCCACATCGCTCATCAAACCACTGTTAGTTTCCGCTGCCCGCACCGAGCCCTATGGCATCTCTTTTGTTGCAACCTGGCCTGGTCCTAACCCTTATCATAGCGCATTAACGCACAGCTTTTGCTACCCAACCAAGCTCCTATTCAGCCGTCAATATGTCTGCCCAGGATCGCGTCCAGAACTACATCGGCCAGCTCGACCGTGAGGTAATTTAGCCTCCTCCGGCTACTACAAGACGTATGTGACACGTCTGCTAACCCGGATGTCTGCGATAGCTGTCCAAGTACCCCGCCTTGAACAACATCGAGAAGTCGACCAACGTTCCCAAGGCCTACGCCGTCATCGGCATTGCTTCCCTCTACTTCTTCCTTATCATCTTCAACTTGGGTGGTCAACTCTTGACCAACTTCGCCGGCTTCGTCATTCCCGGCTACTACTCCCTCAACGCCCTGTTCACCGCCAGCAAGCAGGACGACACCCAGTGGTTGACAGTACGTTGCAACTTTCCCCCGCAATTATTGACACCCAAACCTTGCTAACATCAATTCTAGTACTGGGTTGTCTTTGCCTTCTTCACGTCAGTTCCTTTCCGGTCCGTCACAGAGCTTCGAAACTAACTCGTATACCATAGCGTTGCTGAGAGCCTGGTGAACGTTGTTTACTGGTTCCCCTTCTACTTCACCTTCAAGTTTGTTTTCCTGCTGTGGCTCGCTCTGCCCACCTTCCGGTACGTTCCGTTCAATCCGGCCCGTGATAGATTCCGCTAACTGGCAATAGTGGTGCTGAGATTATCTTCAACTCCTTCCTCTCCCCCATGCTCGCCAAGCACTTCGCCGGTGCCTCCACCGCTTCCGGCCTCCGTGCTCAGGCTGGCAAGGCCGAGTAAGTGCGCCCCGGCGCCAGCTCATCAAATAGGTCGATTGCCTTGAGAGATCCGCCTTGAAAGAGTTATACAGCTAGCCCGGCTTCATCCCAGTGGTAATCGCAAGCTCGTCAAATGGACGTTATGCAGCGACCTAGAGCACAAAGAAGACGGGATGGAGTGTCAGGCTAGCATTACCACCCTATCAGACAACGGTGATGGCTTGTTTAGGTTTGGTCGGGGGCTCCAGGAACGCGAGAGCCACGATGTACGGTTAAACCAGTTCCTGTTACCCCATTTAAAGTTACTGTATGCTACGGAATACGGAGTCAATGACTTCTGCAATGGACTAGAGACAGTACATGATGCTAAGAAACTATCGTGCGACATGCGTTGCCACCGTTCTCCCATTGAAATCGGTTCCTTGGTGAAAATGTGGAAACATATACAAGCGTTGTGCGGGATTAAGTGTGGTGGCTTCGAGACAAAGAGATAGTCGAGATGCTATACATGTTTCTTTTGTCATGGGCAACTAAAGCAACAAGCCGTCGAGTGGGCATCTTGCATCACAGGTGTTAGACCCTGACATAAACCGCATACCAACGCTGCTGCTCAGCGTCGTACAAGACCGTCTCGCATGGGTAAAGTCGAGTCCGAGACTGTGGAGGTCATAAGAGGAACCATGATTCGAGCATTTCTCATACCAATCGGCATGTCATTGCTGCTGCCCGCTGTCATCTCGTTGCCCCATTGACGCAAGAATCCGGACTGGAATTGCTGCACGTCACCGGAACAACTTAACGGAGGCAGCGAGGCGGCATATTTGGGGCAATCTGCAGCGTTCCTGATCCCTGGTCTTTCGGCCTCTTTTCGCTTTTTGTTGCAGAAAAGCGGTTCATTCAGCTGGCTAGGCCTCGATATCGAGCCCGCCAGCACAAGATGTGGTGTAGCGTGAACTTTGACCCGCGAGTTCAATGCCTGAGTCCAACGGAGAGACGGCATGGGAGAGTTTGTTGCGGGCGGGTGCCAAGTTCGCCGCCACCTGGCCCATGAGCCCAAATGCCAATCTGCTGTGAGCAACCTTAGCCTTAGGGGGGGTTTTCAGGGACTATTGGCGAGGATAGCCCCAGCGGGCTGGCCGAGGATCCCGAGACGCGGAAACTGGAAAGGGGTCCCCCACACTTTCCGGGTTGAACCCCCCTGTTCCTACATCGACTCTGCGGGATCTCCAGCGTGTGTTGGCCGTTTAGAGCCGCCTTGAGAGGGCGTGTGCCTGTAGCCCGCCTCTCAGCTGTTTGGGATGTGAAACTCGTAAAACGACAAAGGCTGTTTTCCCTCCCTTTCTGAATTCTCCAAGTCCAACTCCGCCATACCTCGACAGCCTTCGTTTGCCCGTTTTTCGTCGACGGCCTTTTCCGTCCATCTAACCTGTTTCGTAGCATCCTTTGCGCTCGACAGGCTGCACGCAGCACGACGACATTCGCTCCGTCGATAGACGCGCTTTCATGGAATGAATTGGTGGATACAGCCAATTTGCGATCAAGCATAACGACATATCGACCCTCGCTGAGCGTAACCTGCATTCCCGCCAACCCCCGGATTCACCGACTCACCGGCGAAAGCTTACCATAGCGAGCGGCGTCTCGGTAAGAGGAGATTCAACGGCATCTGCCCCCGGAGGGCATGTCCACACAATGCAGCTTAGCCCTCTGCAATCGCGACTGGCGGCCTCGCTGATTGCGTCGCTGCTGCTCATCGTTCTCTATTATCTTCTGTCTACGCCCACTTTCGCCCTCGCTGCGGAATTGAGCGGCGCTACACAGCCAATCCTTGACGACGTCCAAGTCGACGACAGTCTCGAGCAAAGAAGCAGTCTCGAGCCAACGTACGAGCCCGAATTCACTGCCTTCGACCGCAGTATCATTGGAAGAGCACCTGCCGGTGTTACGGGTCTAACGAACAATGTCAAAGTCAACCGCAATGTCCCGGGGAACTCGACCCAGAGTTTTGTCTTTGAAGCTATCACCATCTTCGCCAACTTCTTCGATGGGACAGATGAGGCGTTCATGGTAGGACCTCGCGAAGGCAGCAATGAATCCATCTCACCGGAGCTAGTCAGCATCGAAGGCGTCAAGCCAGAGGATGAAGAGCGTGGCCTACGCCGCAGGCAAGCTCAGGGAAGGACCGTGTACATCTCAGCAACCACGTGTATACAGCCACAGCGCGCGGCGAACAACACAAAGGAGGATGCGCCACAAATCACGATGTATATCTCGACGTCTCAGGACAATCAGACACCTGGACCAGGGCAGAACTCTACTCTACAGAAGGAGGTCGCCTTTGTAGAAGGCGCGGCAACCTTTAGCGTCAATGCGACAGGTGACGTCTTCATTGGAATAGGCGCACCCTCAAAGGATACCGACAAATTCACGGGAGACTGGAACTTTGATGTCGCGGCGTCGACGGACGATTTCTTCCACAGTTTTGACGGAAATCCTTCTGAGCTTCTCTGGGTCGACAGTGACTCTAGCGCTGCACTCCTGACGACGCAGAACTTAACGACCTCCCAAAATGAGACTTTGATTCAGGAGATCATGGGGTCCGGGCTCCCGTTCATTATGTTCGTCGAAAACCGAGAGCAGCCCACAACTAAAGGTGTTAGACGCTCAATGTGTGGATTGGAGAACTACGCTCAAATCGCTGCGAAGAAGGGTGGCAAATTTGGCAACCTCGCCAGCACTCTTATGACGACGAGAGGCGCCGGGAACCTGCCCAAGCAGCAATTTTTCTTCAACGGGCTCAACGCGAGTGCTCTTTACTCGGGCATCTTAGTCCGCACAAGCAATTCATCCTCGTCGAGAAAACGTCAAGACGGCGCTCAGAGTGGCGGCGGCGGAAAGGTTTTCGAAGCGACGCCCTTCGAGACCAAAGATGGTATGTACACTGCCAGGGCAACAGTGCTATCAGCAACTGATTCTGTGTGTAGGGGAGAATTGCAAAATCGTCACCGACCTGCAATTTTGCAATGAGACGGAATACGCTGTGCCCGCGAACTCCAACAAGATGAATATCACTCAGCTTGCGCAGTTCTACGACAACTATGCTCGGGATATGTATGCCAACTTCCAGAAACAGCTTGCCCAGGTAGCCTGCGAAGCGCCAGCAGTACAGCAGTACTCCCTCGCGCGAAACTGCTCCGATTGTGAGACGGCATACAAGAAGTGGCTCTGCTCGGTGACGATTCCGAGATGCGAGGATTTCACGAGTCCTACCAACTTCTCCTTAGTCAGGAACGTGAACCAGACATTCCCGAACGGAACTCTTCTACCAGTCGCCCAGCAAGAGTTGTATCCCAACAGAGTCAATCAGCATTCGAGAAACCCCCTCATCGACGAGATGGTTGAGCCAGGCCCGTACAGGGAGATTCTCCCTTGCGCCTACCTTTGCTATGACTTGGTACAAAGTTGCCCGGCGTCGCTTGGTTTCAACTGTCCTACGCCAGATGATGACATATTCAACTCGAGCTACGCAGAACAGGGCGATGGTCTGACCTGCAACTACCCAGGCGCCGTGCACAATCCATCTGAGTCCTCATTGCTATCAGTTTCATGGGGTCTACTATCGGCTCTCATTCTTGGTACACTCAGTGCAGCCATACTCTAGGTGGACGAGAAGGGGTGACATGACCGATCCCGCAGAGGGTATTCATTTTTAGTAGATTGACGGCCGACTTTTGTATGATGGGTAAGGGGCACAACGGGACAAAGTAATGAGGGTTTTCTGGATGAATTGCATGGCATCGGCGTTAAGACACGACATCTACTTTGAAGGTTGGGACAAAGCCGTCCTTGCGTATGTTCATGGCTGTATTGGCTGTGCTGGGAGGAACTGTCAGAGAATTAGAAGATCGGATAATTTTACAGACTTCTTTTCTCTATCTACGTTCGTCTGTGAATTTTGATAAGACTAGATTGATGTCCTTGCAGGACGATAGGAACCTGCTAACAGTAGAGTACAGTATTTTACACTCGACGTACTGCTCAGACCCATTCCGAGCACGTATCCAGTCCTTGACAACAGTCAAGAGTCCCCACCTCCTGAGTGTCGCTCACGTACTTGGCCGTTAGGCCTTGATACCGCCTTTCTGGAACATCTGGCGAATCGGCATTGCTGATCGGCTATCCCGTCTCCCCTGAGACGAGAGTGGAAGCGATGTTCTCTTCTGCCAATCTAGGCGTCCGGCTCCATTCTCTCGTGCCGATCTCGGCCTTTGTGATCCTATGAGACCGCAACTGATTCCGTGCGTCTCTCTGATTCGTCTCGGATCTCTTCTATTCCCCCTCGCCATGTCTCTAGGCCTTCGTTCCCTTCCCTGCCTGCAACTCTGCGACCTTTGCCTCGAGACTCTCAATCTCCTCGCTCTTCTCGCCGCGAATCTCGTCCTGTTCCAGCTTCGTCCAGGTCCAGTAGGCGATTTGATATGTGAGGGTCGCCATCAGGAGAACTTTGAGGACAGGCCGTGTAAACGTTTTATAAAATGTTCCCTGTTTGTTTGTGATTTCCGTGTCAGCGTCGTCGGGGTTCTTCTGCCAGAAAAAGGGTGCAACAGCTGTCGCAGGAGGGAGCAGGTGGGACGGCACGAACCACAATGGATGGCCTCTTCTCGTCATCTACTGATGTTGAATAGAGCCGCGATGCTGCGCGGGGCATCTGTGTTGTGCGCTGGGAGCGGAGAGCTCTGCTCAGGATCATGGTGCTGCTGCGCGCGGCCATGACGGGCTGCGGTCTCGTCGATCGGTCGTCGCTTCGTAACAGTTCGTACCCCGGATCGTGCGATGGCTGATTGAGCGGATTAGTCGCAGAAAACTCCGTATTCTATCGAGATTGGTCGCAGGTTTCTCCGTAGGTATTGTGGTTCACTTTCGTTTGTAGCTTGTAAGGTCCGTCCGTTTTCTAAAAGCTCCCGTCCTCGGAAGACTCGAATGATTGCGCTGCGCCGCGCCGCGCCGATCTGTGGCGGTGCGCGTATCCCCCGCATAACCCGGCAGCGCGTCGACCGCCCTACGGCATTGCGGATCCCGCTCTTACGTGTGGCACAGGTGGCATTTGGCAATGTGCCTTCTTTCAGGGGTCAAGGTACCTCATTCCAAGGTCCCCTCCTGATTGAGCGGCGCATGGGCTTCGGCACCCCTGGCCCCGAACAGGCAATGGCCCCGTACGTCTTTTTGACGACACCATGTCCCGAACAATCAGAGGGTATTAGAGTGGAGGTGGTGGTGGCCGCCTGGAGGTCCTGAAGGGAGAAGAGCAATTCCCGTACGAGCCCGGTACGAGGGCCGGTACGAATGGTACATGAGCAGTGGAGGGCCCGCGCTTAGCGGGTAAGGCACCTAGGAAGCTAAGGCAGGTGAGTACGGAGTATGTAATACGGCAAACCACCTTTACCACCTCCCCTCGTGGTAATTAGCTTCAACCGCTCTTAGCCCGAAAGCTCCCTCGCGCAATCTGTCCCTTCAACCAGCTTCCCTTCTCTTCTCTCGACACAGTTTCGACAACGATCCGCCTCGCACACACGACCAAGCACCACGTCTACCTCTACCTCTTCCAGCGCACTATATAACGAATCAAACTTCGAAACCGAATAACCGGAAAGACGAAGCAAATCACCAAAGAATTCGCATCGGGCAGACCACATCGCCGCAACCCCTTCATAACTCATCCACACATACATCACCACAATGGTATGCAACTTCCAACACAGCCCTCGCTGCACCGCTACATCAAGACCAGTGGTTCTTGACGGTTTCGAGCTTCGTACTAGGATACACTTACGACACAATCATAACCTTACTGATACTTCTTGATCCATAGGCGCAAACACCCCAACAGAGACGCGCAAACGCAAAGTTCGCTAAGGACAACGAGTCCCGCATGGGCAAGTCCGAGGATCAGATCAAGAAGCGCACCAAGGAGGCGCCCAAGTCGCCCATCTCCCCTATTTGGCTCAGTGAGTAGTCCCAATTCGCTTTCTGTCGTCTCCCATTGCGATCACCCCCAATTGCCTTCCCAAGAGAAAAGGCTGCCAGTTGTGTTTGGAAGCAATTGCTAATATTTCCTCTCTCTCTACAGTCCTCCTTGGCTTCGTCGTCTTTGGTGGTATTGTCTTCGAGGTCCTCTCTCGCATGTTCGGCTTCTAAGTTGACCCGGCCGATGTTCGTACTCAGTCACAAAAGCGAATGAGTGTGTGAACGAGACAACAAGTCCGCAGAACAGGGGAGGCTGCATGACCAATGTGGTTTCTCAGTCCGCACTCGCTTCTTCCGAGCAAGCCTCCTCTGAGGACTTGAGCTGAAACACAATCGCAGCATTGTTTTGCTTGCAAGGGGAGGATACGGTCAGACAAAGACGCAGCTCAGTCTCCCCTCGGCAGTGGAGAGGGAAAAGGGGGAGTGTTAATTTCCTGGAACACTTGGAGGGATTGAGCCCATATCCCCAAACAGCACCTTGCTTCCAGTGGTGGGAACAAGTCTGTACAAAGAAAACGCCACGCATCGCTTTCTTGTCCTTCGTCGTGGGAAAGCAAGAACACCTGGTTAACGGCGTACTGTATTTGAAGTTATCCGTTCATTTCATTTTCTCCTCCTTTCAGAGGCAGCTCTTTGATAGCAATCACCTCGATGAAAAGCAATTCACTTTTTATTCTACATCAAAAGACTTTTTGGGTTCCCTGTTTGGTCCTGACCATACGGCCTCATCAACATGAACGCCAGAGCTACTAACAAAAGCCACGTGAATACAGCTTCAACAACCTATTGTGTCCACACGAGCTTCCTCGTCTTGAGAAATCCCATAACTTACGCGCCAAGACCGCGACGCTGGCCACCAGCATCGTACTTCATGTGCACACCAGCCTGGAACTGCTGCTCGAGTTCCTGGGTGATCTTGTTGATATCACGCTTGCCCTTGGCTCCAGAGGCCTGAGGAGCCGCAGCCGCAGCGCCCTTCTTTCCGCCGCCCAGAAGACGCATGAACTTTTGCTGACGGTCTGCGCCTCCTCCCAGGTGTCCGACGTCCCACTGCTCGGCGGCAGCAGCGTTGTCCGCAGCAGGTGCCTTGCTCTCCTTCTTGTCCTCCTTCTTCTGCTTCTTCTTATCCTTCTTGACCTTCTTGCTGGGGGTCTCCTCGGCAATGGCAGCACCGCCATCAGAGTCGTCTTCATCCTCCTCCCTTGAGCGCTTGCGCTTCTTGTCAGACTTCTTGGACTCCTTGACCTCTTCCTCGGCTTCCTCTACGGCCTTAGACTTCTTGCTCTTCTTCTTATCCTTCTTCTCCTTCTTAGCCGGGGTTGGCTCCTCGGGTTCCGCAAACTTTTCGATCTCCTCCTCGACCTTCTTGCTCTTCTTTGACTTCTTTGACTTCTTAGGCTTCTCTTCCATCTCCTGCTCCTGGGTAATGGCTCTCGCCTCGCTTTCGGCGCGGAGTTGTGCGCTGGGGTTTGGTGACTCTGGGTCCATGTCGACATCCTCGTCTTGTTCAACAGCTGCGCCGCCCTTGGTCTCTTCCGCCTCTGAGTCGGAGTCGGAATCCGAATCTGAGGAGGAAGAAGATGATGATGAGGATGAGTCTGAGGAAGAACCGGCTTCTGAATCGTTCTTCTTCTACAAAACCGCATGATCAGTGTCCCGAATCCTATGAATTGGGTATTCCAATCGCCGTCATCCTATCTCGTGGACTTACCGCTCTCTGCTCTGCCATGGCCGCGTGTCTTACGCGCGCCGCCGCAGCCTCGGCCATGAGCTTCTTGGCCTGAGCCTCGAGCTTATCAGCCCGTCTCAGCATGCGGTTGAACCGCTTCTCGTCCTTGTTCTCCTTGCGCGCAGCCTTCTCGGCCGCAGCCTTGAGCTGCTTCTTTTCCTTGTTGGCGGCCGCAAGTCTCTCGTGCTGGTTGCGCTTGCGCTCGATCTTCTTCTCTGTGGGATTTCGAAGCGGTTAGCCATGTCGGGTGCAGGTGATGTTGGTGGGCGCCGGCGCGCAAAGCGGCTGGGGTCTTACCCTTGCCCTCGGTCTGGGACTTCAAACCCTCGGCGCTCCGAACCACGGGTTCTTTGATTGGCGCCATGCTGTCCCGATTTCGTTGCGTATCTAGGTGTTCGGGGTTTTCGGGTGGTATCACAATGGACTGGCCGATTGTCCTTCGGGCGTTTGGCAGAAGTGGCTGGGTCTTTTTTTTTTTTCTGCCGGGCTGCGATCGACTGGTGGAGGTGCAATGAGCACAAAATTCTGGGCGGGATCGCTTTCTGTCAGGCGGTAAGAGACAATCTTGATGCTAGATCCCTGCAAGGTGGGGTGTTTGATTCCGAGAAATGGACCAGTCTGGGAGGTACGTACTGATCTTTGGTCCCTGGAAGCTTTGACCTGCCTTAACCGGAGTGACGGGACAGAAAGGTCAGGAACTAGACTACGGCCCCTCTTTTCCCGTACCGCCGAGCACTGCCCGATTTACCGGCAGTACGGTGCTCCAAGATTGTGAAGAGCATTTCTGATTGTTCTGGAGCTGTATTCCTTTAGTTGCCTCAGCCTACGACAACCTTGTGTCACTATCCTGAATCCAGCCTATGCAACGGTACCTGGTTCACGTAAATGTTGTCTTCCTGGCATCAGTCACCTCTCTAACTAGTACACTACCTCTGCCAGTCTCACACGCGCATCCTGCCTCGACGCCTCCTACGAAGCTTTAGGCATACACACCATCAGCCAAGGCTGTCTGTCGCGGGAAATCGCTACTGACTATGCATAACTTACGCCAAGACCTGCCGTCACGCGATCCGACTTACACGAGGGTCAAAGGGTTGTTCAGCCCCAGCTTTAGATAGAAACTGCCGTGTCTCGGCGGTACTCTGAAGGGTCTCCGTGCATTCTATACATTACTAGAGTCACCCAGTGACACAGTCTCAATTTTCGGGTTCAGACGATGACATGTCTAGCAACGGCGAATGATGCGCGTCCTCGTTCAACAACATGGCGACGCCTTGAACTAGTTCCCCACCCACAAAATCCATCTTCAGTATGGATATAGTCAGGTAACAGTCATTTGAATGTCATGTTTTCAACTCCGGTATTTGACATAGTGTAGGCAAAACCAGCTCACTACTCAATACCGATCTTTCTTGCCCCCCTAGACTCTACAGCAGACGTTCCCTCACTTAGATTAGCCTACTGCGTGTGAGTGGCACATGCAACGTCGATGATCACACCCTCATCTTTGCTCCAGAGCGAGCCAGAGCTGGTACAGGTTTCCTATTCTTGGGTTTCTATTTCGAATAGGGTGCTTGAGAGTTATGAGAGGTTTTGCCTTTGAATACAAAAAAGGTCGAGAGTGATATCTAATACAGGACCCGTCTTGGTGAATCTTTACTGTCGTGTCTTTCGTCCGCCATTAGATCCCAGACCCCGTCGAACTCCATGCTGAGAAAGCCAAGGAGTCATCAATCCCTCCATAGGATTACATCCATTATCCATTCACTTCTTTTTGTCCAAAAACGGGGATTCAAGACAGGATGAGTGGTGTGAAATGAAAAAACGAACAGAAGAAAAGGAGGTGAAGGTGTAGGGCCCATCCCGTGGACGAATTAAGAATGTCTTACGCGCCCGCCTTCTCCCCTCTTTTGTATGCTAAATCAACCCAGCCCAGCCCATCTCAACCCAAACGCCTGTGCCTTCGTAGCTTATCCAGAGTGTCCCAAGTAATCGCAGACTAGCGCCTGAAACTCGCCATCAGAATACAGTCAATCTCTACAGGGAGTTGTAGATTTCTCTCACCGTCTGTGATGCCCCTGATTCACGTCCCCGCCCTGATCATAATCCAAATAATACGGCGAGTCACCGCCGTAGTAGTAGTCCTCCCCGCCACTGCTCCCGTAACTCGCTGGCGCCGCCGGCTGGTACGCCTCCGTGTAGCCGTTGCCGTAGTTGGTCATGTAATACGGGTCCTCTCTGACGTAGTCGTCGCGGCCGCTGCCCCGACGGCTCTCGTGCTCGTGGCCGCGGGTGATGACGTGGTTCATGTTGATGCTACCCCAGGGAAGGCCGGACTCGGCTCCCTCTTCCGCGCCGCCGGCGGCGGCACCGCTAGGATCGGAGGAGCCCGAGGCGATTTCGTACGTATTCTTAGCGTTGGTCTCGTTGTCTGCGTCGCGGTCGGCCTTTTCTTTGCTGTCTTGGTTCTTCTTCCCTGTGGTTGTGCGTGTTAGTTGTGCTGCTGTGCTGTTTTACCCCCTTCGAGGACTCAAAATTCATGGTCCGGGGGTGCTCCTGGCTGAGGGATCCGGAGAATGGAAAGAGGACGTACTGAATTTACGTTGAGCCAACCGATTTTGGATGCGGCGGCGCTCCTCGGGGTCTGTGATTTCTGCCCAGTCGTCGTTCTTTGACTTTGACTTTGATTTTGAGGAGTGGTGCTTCTTGGAGCTTTGTTCCGACGATTTCGAAGCCTTGGATGACATGTTGCGGCTATTTTCCGGGTTTCAGACGAGGAAGTGTGCTGTTTGTTCTCCGCTCAAGTGGCGGCTCCTGAGAGAGCTGTGGTCTCACTTGGCCGTGAGAGGATGCCAACTGTTGCGGCAGTGTCTCTTAGACCCCTCGCTGAGAAGTGAGTTTTAAGCTAAGTGGTCCTCTTCCACAGCAATACGAGGCTGAAACGACTACTTGGTTCGTCAGAAGAGCCCGCCAACGGTTTTGACATCCTACACTTACAGCTCAGTTGTACTTGTATTGTATAAGATATTCCCTTACGTGATTGGTCGTAACACTGACTTGGTATAGATCAAGGAAATGTCTGAAGGGAAAGCGGGTGTGGAGTATCAAAGGCTTGTGGGGGAGATAATGCAGTATTGTGAACAGGGTGTAAGTGTAAGTCTATGTGATATTGCCTGTCTGTACTAACAGCATCGCCACCAAGCTAGGGAAGAAGCCTCACTCTTATATCGAAACCCAGAATTTCCAGGCCACACATCAGAACAAGCCATGCTACCTTGGACATGGGAAGCGTTCGTACCAAAAGTTGGGAGCACCCACTTTCAAGGGGGATCCTAGACAGCCTCACGTAACGAGTAGGGCAGAATCGAAAGCAACCCAAGACGCGGTCAGTCGCCCGTGGCTTCCGCGTCGTGACGCAGGACTATGCAAGCCGCCATCAAGGAATGTGCAGAATAAGATTCCTAAGTCTAAGCACAGACGGGGCGGAACACCCCCCATCTACCTCCTCCATGGGCCCCATCAAGCCGTACCCGCAAGAGGGGCGGCAGACTACGGGAAGGGAGTGCGAGGAGTCCACGACACCGGGTCAAGGTACGGCTGGGGGGTGTGGCAACGGCAATGCAGCAGCCGCAAAGTAGACGGGGACAGGAGTTGGCAAGGGGGCAGCGACGAGCTGAGGCGGTTGGCAAGACTACCCTCGAGACCGGGATGTTGGTAAAAGGAAGAAGGCAGAAAATGCTGGACGCGCAGCAAAGCATAGCACGGATCGGTGAAGCCCGGAGGAGGGTGGGTAATCCCCGGGGCGCCGCCGAGAACGATCTCGGGAGGGCCAATTGGAGGCCATTGTGACGGATGCCTACGTCTCTGGACACGAAGTACGATGAGCCAGTGTGGATAGAGATATTGGGCGTCCAAAGGACAGAAGTCGCAATGACTTCCGCGCGTCAGCGGGTTCAGAATGTGCCGTTGATCTCATAGGAGACCAGTCCAAGCCAAGACGAGGCAGATGACCAAGCACTCGAGGAGGAGGGACCCGCAAGTTCCACGTGGAATCGCTCCGGTAGGTAAGGCTTCGAAGAGAGACCGGGGGCCGGGGTGGAGTCTGGAAGAGGCCGGAGGAGGACGAGATGAGACGGGGCAGAATAAGCGAGCAGGGCCCCGGCGACGTCGAGGACGATTGCGAGGGCTCTTCGTCTTCGGAACTACGTATTGAAGGGGGGTAGCTTCGTGAAGTTGGTACGTCAGGATTTACGTAGACAAAGACAAGATTCTCACCCAAAATCAACTTTGATAATGGGTGAGTGGGCTGTCACTCTCGAACCAAGCTTTCGCAATCTGTACATGACTGCGGGTACATGCACCTCCTAACAACGCAATGAGAAGAGCTCAAACGCGCTGGAGCAGCTTCCACCAGCATCTAGCCGAAAGTTTGGGGAATCGACAGCTCCAAATTTGCCATCAGCCCTAGGTCGATAGTAGAGTGTGCCCATTCGCCCAAGAGCAACGTTGTTGCTTGTGCCTGACGTGCGTGTTAACCAGGGATGGATGGTGTGCGGGGGGGTCGACCTGCATGGCATGCGGATACAGTCTAGCTAGGTACCTACTCGCGGCCGCGTAGCTGCGAGTTGGCCTTGATTGATAGGACACCTCTCGCCCGGTACTGGATGCCACACCCCTTCTCGATGAATCGAGGCGTCTCCTATGCAATCCCCGACCCCAAAGCACTTGGTCAGACAACGTTTGAGTGCAGCCATAGCAAAACTTGGGCGGGACTTGCGCCCGTCATCCCAACTCCTATAGCAAGGCAGGCTTTGGGATGAAGGGCATCTCGAACCTCGGACTTGATCGTTGAGAGAAAGGGTGTCGTTGTCCATATGATCGATGAGTCGTAGCTTGAGCTCCGCAAGTACGAAGAACAGTAGCCGATCTGCCGTCTTTCGCGGAGTTTGAAGTTCGACACCCTCGTTTTGTCAAAGGTACGTGAGTGCTGACGAAACGGCATGGCGTGTAATTCGTTCGCGTCTGACAGAGGCTGGCCCTGTTGCGCCAGACAAATGAGTCACTCGTAGAGACCTGGCTCCGTTTTTCTTTGTATTCCCTTTCGACATTGGTCTCTTGTCTGGGCGAAGGAATAAGCGACGGCGAGCGTACCTAAGGTAGTGTACGGAGTACGAAGTAGCGTCTTTCCAATCCTTCGAGACGCCGCCGTGTGCGGCTCAGCTTCCGAGGGAGGGGAGCGTGCCCTGGGTGCGAAACATTCCGACTTGCCTGCGGAACGGTGAGGATTAAGCTTATTGATAGACCCAGGAATTGCCCCTAACGGCCCTCACAGAAGCAATGTTGCGAAAAACACTCGGTTGGTCCACACCCGATATTAGACCGTCGTGTCAAATGGATTCGTACGGCAGGTTTCTGCCGTGGCTTTGGTTGCCCTCGTGACTGTCAGATCCTGAAAATATCTCAATTGATCAATCAAATCGCTGCGTTATTTATCGTCCTGAATGTCAGGTGTCGTTGAACAGCAGGCTGGCGCCGGGCGCGTGTGCACTGTAAATTCCCGCTGTCGGGTGTTTTTGGGAAAAGCCAAAAGCCTCAACTTCGCTTGGAGACTCAATGGCTGGTCTAATTGTCTGGCGTGGAAAGCAATGTTTAATTGGGTTGATGTCACCAAGGTGGGTCACGCTGTCTCCTTCCTCGTCAACTATTGAACACTCTTTCCTCCCTTCACTTTCTGGTTCTCTCCTTCTCTTCTCCATCTACACTCTGTCTGGTCATGCTGGGAAAACCAGCGGGGCAGTAGCAAGGAACATTGCAAACGTAAGGTAGGTGCTCGATCTCATGATAGCTAACTTCCACTTTCCTACAATTCGGTCTCTCGGCCAGTGGAGATGAACTCCTTACGAAGTAAGATACCTTAGACGAACTAGCTAACAAGTTTAAGTCAGAGAAGCATGGGCCTTTGCTTGCTGTTGACCACGAATATGTCATCATTGCAAAGCGAGCTTCTGCAAAAAAACACCCCAGTAATTGTTTAAACCCTTATTTCTTAGTGTACTTCGTAAGGTAGACCGCTGATTTGACAGATTGCGTGGCTTAGCTGACGAGTCGCCTGCCACCCGGGGACTTATGCAGTGGACTTTAACATGGGAGCCCGGACCACACTATCGCCCTGGCGGAGATGGGCGGGCGATTGAGCGGGACTGATTACGCCGCCGTCGTCAAAATTGCTGTGCTATTTAACCGCGTCTACTTAATCTTACTGCTGGGTCGTTGGATCCCAAAATTGCGAAAGCAGAAAAAATCATCTACTGCGCGAGCGAAGCAACCGATGTGACAATGGTGCAGATGAGGTGCCCTTCCCAATCCTCGGTGACTCAACGTGGTGTCCCACGAGCTCGGTCTCAGCCGTGTAGCTCCATCTGAGGTATCTGCCTAGGAGGCTTGCATGGGGACAACCATTCACAAAACGCCACAAGTCTAATAGACTCGCTCACGGCGACCATCATAACAGAATGATAATACTTGGGTTGTATGCGTCTCTGCCTTTAGTTCACCTGCTCCCTTGCTCAAAAGGGTCTAAAGGAGGTTTCTGCCTGAAATCTTAATTCAGGGTCTGTCACGATACCGACTCTTTCATAGGACGACGATGTGGCACCTGGCACCCTGTCGCAGACACGCCGACTATCTCTCTTTCCGTCCCCGTGTCGCAACCGGTTTCCGTACCCGCTTATAGATCTGCCAGTCCGACAGCATGTCTAACGGTAAATACGTTACAGTAGGTGCTGCTATTGGCGTGGCGCACGATGAAAATAGCATGGAATCATTACTATGCCATCTTTGGCAGCTTCTTTCGAGTCTACACAGATGCATACAGAGAGCTCGTCATCAGAAAGGCGTGCCGTATCACAAGGTGCATCATGGAGGATAGGAAAGTAGTGAAAGGAAGGGTAGGTATAAGTGCCATTCGCATCGGGATGTTTACCTCACAATCTACATAGCATATCACAGACTTGAAGAATCTTGATGCTGGGCCAAAGCCGTTGCCCAGAAGCCAAGGTCAGCGTGGGTTACCTTCGGCCAACAATGACGGATGCTCAAAATGTAAGCAGGTTTCTCGGTGGTTCGTGTCGTCGACTTAGGCACGTAAGTGGTCTGGTTCATCCAGTATTAAATGGGTGACGGTTCCTAATTGGGGCAGCTCTGAATTCGGTCATCACCTTCTTTCATATTGCCTCCAGCATGTCAGCACAATTTCGCAGTGCACAAGCTTGGTACTACAGTAAGCTCCATACTAGTGTCAGAAGGATGGCCACGCAAGAACAACCAGTCATAAGTTCAATTGTCGGCGCGGGGCCGTGCCGTTCGACTAACATGAGTATGCACCGACTCTTAACCTCGCAAATAGCTAGTTGCTTCGCCGCGACTGAGCATCACTAAGGTAGCCATGGTATACGACAACACCAAAGCTTCGGTAGCCGATGCAGTATTGGCCTCGCCAGCACAATGAGGCAGAGGGTGTGTGACCACATCACATCTGATACTTTCCTACCGTTAGACTCATTCGGTATGCAAAGCTCCAAGTATGGCAGGTCCTACTATCATTTACCCCATGTTTGCAAGTTTGGTGGTTGCAAATCCGCAGAATAGTGGCTTCAGCCTGCATGAGGTTGACTGAAAATATGTGGTTGAGCACAGGGGCTGCCCGGTTACAACCCATGGGAGGAAAATGCCTTACTGATAACAGAAA